ATGTGATGCTTGCCTCGATGTCTTCAAATGTGAAACATTCCCATTAAACTCTACGTTATCGTTTCGCTGGTCACAGTCTGCCACCAAGTTTGTCGCTTTGGATGCGAAGGTAGCCCTCCATTCCTGTCGCCCTAACGAACGAACATTTTGCGAATGAGTCTGGTGTGTACATCCTTACTTTTTGTGTCAATACATTTAAAGGCTTGCTGCATGCGCATGCCAAAGCGCATAACGATATTCGCTTTACATTGTTATACGATCGGCTTGGTGGTTATATGCACCTTCTGCTGACGGCTTTTTCATTACCTGTACGAATATTTCGATATCCCAGTTGAACATCAACACTGCGTCGGCATCTAACAGCTCGTCGCGTGTTAAACTCTCGACACCACTGACGTCACGCTAACGTTAAACAAAAATGGAGAGACAACTTTCCGAACGCTCGAATTACCAAACCTTATACAGCCTTGGGTTAGGGGATTTTGACTGATTCACGCCGCGATAATTTCTCGTTGCACGAGTGCTGTTTTTCAGTTTTGTTGCATTGCATTTTGGAGAACTATCTTTTGTTTGTGCTGCATGTTGTTAGGTTGTTTTGCGGTGCTGCATGAACTTCTGTTGCGAGTCTTGGAGATTGAGGTGCACATCGTAAGTGGTTCTGAAAGCTGGCGCCGCGGGTCGAACTTGGAAAGCAGCATTCATTTGCGATTTAGATGCTAGGGTAGGTGGGTTTAGTCGGTTAATCAGTGCCTCGTCATCTAATGTTTGTTTTTCGCATGTTGGGTAATAAAAAAAGCTCTTCATAGTTCATAGGGGATCGGCCAAAAAGAAGGGTTTTCTTCTTTTTGGGCTGAAAAAGTAGGTGTGTTGACAAATGAGTTCGAAGCTCGGGATTTTCAGCTGCAGGTACTGAGCCAATGTGCATGGAGCCAGGAACGAAGCCGGCGGGGGAGGGGCACGCCAGTCATTCCCTCCTGAGCCAACCGGTATATACCAGGTACTGGATCATTTTTGAGCTGAAAGCCTGTGTGCTAACTTCCCGATGATGACTTCCTACGGTTAATGCGGCGAAGGGATATAACGGCGGACGCTCTGTGTAAACACGATCCATTTTCCGGGCTGGAAGTTGTTTTTTCCAGCTTGACCAACGCTGTTTTTAGCGATCTTTCCGGCGCAAAGTACGCTGGGGCGCAGAGGGAGGAAGGGGAGAGGCGCAAAATTCCTTGCTTTACGGATGCTGCGTGACGCATGCCAGATGGGAGCATATAGAAATGGCTCGCCAAAACGACGAACAGGCCAAATACTGACATGAAGAAAAGTAAAATCGTCAGTTGTAGGACCATTCAAATTGCATAAGTGCAAGGAAGGCATTTCCCATGTCGAAACGGACGCTTGCTACTAGCTGATTCAAGAACACTTTTGCAGCTGACTTCGTTCTTTAACACGTGAAGCCTTATTCCAAATGTGGTACGCGCGAAGCGGGAGCCAATCAACAGCTAAGAACGTAGGAAACGTGAGACCAAGGCCGAGTCTGGAAGTGTCACTCTGTTCTTTTGTGAGGGCGCTCCCGCCATGCTGATAGAGGCTCCCAATATTGACTTTTGACCCCCCCCCCCTCCCCCCATTCTTGTCTTCGGCCCAGCCAATACTGGTTTGACCCCAGTACTGTGTCTGGAATATGGATAAAAAATGAAGAGCCGAATTTCGCTCAAAGAGCACCTTCGTTTAGTCGTTATTTGATGTTCAAGACTACCTTTTTGCTGAAATAGCTTTTCCATAAATGGGTCACAAACAGAGAATTTGCCGTGTGCCAAAAATACAGTGAGCCAATTCCGATGAAAAACACATCTTTGTACGGAAACCATGCCATCGGCCACTTGCCCCCTTCCCCCCCCCCCCCCCCCCCCAGGAACGCACACCAATCGACGCCCCTGATCCAACTCATCAGCTTAAAATCACCAGCCTGAAGTCGGGGCCGACTCAAGTGTGCGGTGTTGTTTTGCAAAGGTTAGTTATTTTCCCGTCTGTGAAAATCATGGGATCAGAAAACATGTCTTTTGTGAACAGATTGAGACGAGGTCCGATGCAAAAGATGTGAGACCTTACGGATGGAACAATTGTCGGTTATGTCATTAATTGTCTAGACTTTCACGGTGACATTTAATTCTGGATCTGTCCTTTGTAGAAGTGGTACCAAAATCTTCCTCTTTGGCATCATGACCCTCATTTCTAAATGGCACTCAAGTACAGTGAGGTGGAACCAAAAGGATTCCGAACCTCCATTTTAAAGTGGCGGTAAATTTCATGGTGCACCAGAAATGACCTCAAAACCTTCCTTTTTCACGAGGAACCAAATCTCAAGGTCGCAGTCATAAGAGGCGCACGTTGAGGGTGGGGGGGGGGGGGGGGAGACACGCAACCCTCTCACTCCCCTTAAGCCCTAAGGGTCCGAGGGTCTCCTGGGGTGCTTTAAGCCCTTTGGCAGTGGATCATTTGCATCAGTGAGGGCCTCTGCGTCGATCAGGTGCCGGATGTCACGGTCAGAGGGCCTGTCGCGTCAGGGAGGGGACAGGTGTATGATGTATGTCCTAGGGGGTCTCCGTACCGACCACGGGGCCGCTGTCCGCCAATCACTGGAATGGCAGCCGCTAGAGACCCTGGAATGGGATGAATATCCTCAAGCTCCTGGATTTTGCCTTTGCATTGCATTAGCATTTTATTTTTGCAATTTTCGAACTTGGCTCTCTGAACGGAAATAGGAACTGCAGTAATACAAACGACGAACACTATGCTATTGCGTCATAACTTCATGAATAACTCCCAGGATAATTCGTTAAAAGTGGCGATCTGAAAATCTCACGGGTAAAACCTACGGTCCGTTATGCTTTCTACAGTACACCAATTGATCAACCACTTTCCCAATACCAAGGTACCACGATACCAAGATGCGTGGTCATTTTCGCCGCCCGTGGACTGCGGCCGGCTATTGATGATGGCCGACGACGCGCGCCTCATGGAGACCGCAACGCCGGGCACTAGTGTACTTTCTCCTAGATGGCGAATGCACATGTTTCATATTACTTTATCCATTTTTTTTTGTGTTTTGATGATGGGTTCTGAAGAAAGGATGAGCTTCCTCAGGCGGGCAGGGGATGAGCATTTCAATGCAAATTTTGAGCCCTGTTTTGACCTTCGCTGCCATTCATTCCACGGGCCCCTCAACATCTCTGAAAAAACTTCTAGATGATCCGGCAACATCGCTGACTGCTTTGCATGATTTAATGCAAAGATACAAATAAACCACTATAAGACGAATAACCCCGCGTTTTACCTAATGCAGTCATTTAATTAACAATCAGTTGCCTTGTTTGCTTCTAAATAAATAATGAATTGTATCCTTTGATAGCTTCTTGCATATCTTGCTGTTAAAGAAGTTCAACAAAAGTAGTAAAAGAACACTTATCTTTCATGTACCGGGGGGACCACAATAAAGTATGCTCTTTGAGGAAATATGGTATCTGCCCCTAATGGCGAGAACTAAAAAATGTATTGCATTCTGTCGCTGCTTGCCACAATGTCGCGTGCCCGGCCCTTTTACGAAATCTAGGATCTGTCACTCAGCCTGGCCCGGTTTTGGTGTGTCACACATTGCAACCGATTCGGCACACCTTTTGTGGTTTTTTCTGTATGTAGGAACAGTGGTCCCAAGTTGAGGCGAAATCAGTACTTTGGGATATGTTAAGCGAATCCGTATTTGGGATCGATCGCACCGTTGGGATGTCACTGACTCGAAATTCCCTAAATAGGCCCCATCCTCATGGTACAAGAGTCCCTCCGACATTTGGTGTTCCGTCCCTATGAGCCGGGGTTACTAATACGACCAGCCCTTTGGGCCTTTCGGGACTTGCCAGGGATGAAGTTTCCTGTTCATTAGATGACGGGGAAATGAGGCTCCAGAGCCCCCCCACCCCCCCCCCCCCCACCCCCACCTCACCCGCCAACTCGTTTTGCGAAACTACAGCGCGTGCTTCAAGCGATCATCCCCTTGATCTAAAGACAAAGTCAGCTCATTGAGGTGAATATCACCCAGCTGGTAGTGTTTTAGTTGTTTGGTGACGTCATTCTACTATCAGCTTGAGGATTTCCAACATTCTTATATCCAGTATCCAAAATCCAATAACTGGAGACCTTCAGTATCATTATATAGTCAGCCAGGTAGCCGCGCCGGTACGGTCGGCGCCTGATGTCGGTTAACTGAGTGTCAGATGCGAGAGATAGATCTATGACTATGATATGGCATGGAGGGAACTAAATGCTTGAAAAGGGTTTATAAATGTCTAGCACACATACTGGTGCAGTAATGGCAAGATCGTATGGTTCGTGCACTAGATTAATTTAATTCAGTATGTTTAAAAGTGCGAGGCAAACGTGCAGACAGGATTTTCTGAAGGGTGAAATACGGAGCTCAGTGAAAACGCAACATGCTCTGTTTTTGTTGTTGTTTTTTTATTTCTGATGTGACCTGTCTAGGGGAGGAGGCACTCACGGGCATGGGTGGGAGACGCCTCCCCCTCCCCCCCCCGCCCCTGGGCTGCGCCCGTGGTACGAGGTCTACCCTAGAATTCAAATATTGCAGGCCCATGGTACCAGCAGTGGGCTCCCCCCACGGCTTCCGAAGTCGCAGTCCAATTGAACGACGTTTCCCGGGAGGGGAGGGGGGAGGGGGGGGGGGGGGGCATAGAAGCGCGCTGGAACTCTCCGTGTATTCGGAAGCAGGGAGTCCAAGTGGAATAAGTCTAATTTGTATTCAACACCGTTGGCTGACCCCGTCCACTGGTGTTTGTGACACCGTAGGACTATCGAGCGGCCGGTGGTCTGTCTGGAAGACATGTACTCGCGGTCTCAGCGCGGCAGCAACTTCCTGCAGGACTCTGAGCAGGCGCTGCGGGCGCGGCGCGACTCCGAGTGGCGTCGCGAACTGGAGTCGCGCAGCCAACTGCAGGCCAGCTGGAACCAGTCCAACCAGGCGACGCTGAAGCACAGCCAGCTGCTCGAGCTGTCCCGCCAGCCGGCAGCGGGCAGCGGCGTCTCGCTCGGGCAGCACGGCTCGATAACGGACGCCGCGCTGGGCGCCGTGCGCCGGCTCTCGCGCAATGTACGCCGCAAGACCGCGGCACCGGCGCCCAGCGGTTTGCTGCCCGACCCAAGCATGGGGCCGCTGGCTTCAGCAGGTGCGTTACACGTGGCGTTGTGATGCATGGCCACCCGTCCCCAGCCAGCCTCAAGCAGCGCTGCATTGCTACAAGCAGTCCACGTTGCCCCTTGCAGGCTGGAGAACTATCAAAGGCAGGGGTCCACGGCCTTTGACGATTAAGTGGTATGTTCGTGGGGTGGCGCCCATACAGTGCATACTGTTCGAGTGTAGAGTTGTGACTGTGACTCGTCGGCTAGTCGTGTAATCGCTTGCTAGTTGATCTCGGACACTATGTGTAAACCCTTATTTGCGAACTGTTCTGTTCACAGTCCGTTTTAACTCTATAAACCAGGAAGATGTTGTCAAGTTTCTCAATGCAAACCCGGCCGTCATAAACCATTACGTTGATGAATATGTGGACGTCCCTACTTTGAAGGTAAACATCTGGCATTGCTGGGCATCGTGGTTACCATGTGAACATGGCAGGATTCCATGCAGCAAAAGAACTCACCGCAGCTTCCCAAAGGAATTTGCAGTGCCGCCAGACCAGGAAGAAATAGTCAATTTGCATGAATAAATTTGCAATAGCCGTATTTCTGGCCATAAAGGAATTGAATGAACATTATTCTTGAACTGGGAAATTCACTCTGATTTTAACGCCACACACACCGAGGTGGCGAGCGCTACCATCCACGGGCGTCACATCCACCACCCAGTCGTTTGCCGCTGGCGCCGGCCCTGGCGGCAGCTGTTCAGCGCTCTCGCCTGCCTGTGTCTCCGTCGTGGCCAGGCGTGGCTGGCGTCCAAGACGTCGGGCACGCTGCGTGCGCACCAGGCGCCGGTGGGCGGCGAGGCGAGCCCCTACAGTGAACGGCATGCAGAGGAGCTGCGGCACCGCCTGGTGGAGGCGGCCGCCGAGACCGAGCACACGCCCCGGCTGCTGCATGAGCTGGCGCGCGTGGCGGCCGTCTCCGTCGGCGCAGACGGTCAGTAGGCTAATTTGGCCAGCTACCGGAAGGAGCTATCGTGACCGGTCTTTAGACGCTGGCCGCGGCAGTCCTGTATTCCCGCCAGTAGTTTATCTGGGTCTGAGTCGGTAGACCGGCCGCGGCAGTTCTGTATTCCCGCCAGTAGTTGATCTGGGTCTGAGTCGGTAGACCGGCCGCGGCAGTTCTGTATTCCCGCCAGTAGTTGATCTGGATCTGGGTCTGTAGACCGGCCGCGGCAGGTCTGTACTACCGTCAGTAGTTGATCTGGGTCTGAGTCTGTAGACCGGCCGCGGCAGTTCTGTACTGCCGTCAGTAGTTGATCTGGGTCTGAGTCTGTAGACCGGCCGCGGCAGTTCTGTACTACCGTCAGTAGTTGATCTGGGTCTGAGTCTGTAGACCGGCCGCGGCAGTTCTGTACTACCGTCAGTAGTTGATCTGGGTCTGAGTCTGTAGACCGGCCGCGGCAGTTCTGCACTGCCGTCAGTAGTTGATCTGGGTCTGAGTCTGTAGACCGGCCGCGGCAGTTCTGTACTGCCGTCAGTGGTTGATCTGGGTCTGAGTCTGTAGACCGGCCGCGGCAGTTCTGTACTGCCGTCAGTAGTTGATCTGGGCCTGAGTCTGTAGACCGGCCGCGGCAGTTCTGTATTCCCGCCAGTAGTTATCTGGGTCTGAGTCTGTAGACCGGCCGCGGCAGTTCTGTACTACCGTCAGTAGTTGATCTGGGTCTGAGTCTGTAGACCGGCCGCGGCAGTTCTGTACTGCCGTCAGTGGTTGATCTGGGTCTGGAGTCTGTAGACCGGCCGCGGCAGTTCTGTACTGCCGTCAGTAGTGATCTGGGCCTGAGTCTGTAGACCGGCCGCGGCAGTTCTGTATTCCCGCCAGTAGTTTATCTGGGTCTGGTCTGTAGACCGGCGCGGCAGTTCTGTACTGCCGTCAGTGGTTGATCTGGGTCTGGTCTGTAGACCGGCCGCGGCAGTCTGTATTACCGTCAGTAGTTGATCTGGGTCTGAGTCTGTAGACCGGCCGCGGCAGTTCTGTATTGCCCAGTTGATCTGGGTCGGGTCTGTGTCTGGGACGCTGAGTCTGTAGACCGGCCGCGGCAGGCCTGTGCCCCCACCAGTAGCTGATCTGGGTCTGGGTTCAGACACGGCTACGGCTGTAGGGCACGTCTGTACGGGGATCGTGTGGTGCTTGATACGAAATTTACCCAAATATGAGCAATATGGCTTTGCCTGTATGGGTGGACGGTAGCTGCCTGAGTAGTGGGAACCGCCCACCCATCAGTGCGAGGGAGCCCACGGATTGCGCTCTGTCTAGAGTTATAATGGTTCCAAGAGTAGCCGCGTTACTACGTCAGTTGTAGTGCTTGTATTCACCGCAGTTATTGGGACTTAACGACGCACTCGCAACGATATGTAGTGCGGTAGCGATGTGTGGCAAGAATGCAGCGAAATGTAGTAAGAAACTGGCGAAAAGACAAGCCACCTTCATTTATATTTGGATGCACAAGAAGTGTGGTGGCCAAGGTCTTGACACAATTTTTACCTTCATTTTATTGAATGGACGTTGGGAGATTTCTTGCATGCATTCGAAGAGTACGGTTCTTGGTCAGCAATAAATGAATTTGATCTTAGAAATTGAAGCCACTAAATTGTGCATGGTCAAATAAACACGTGCAACTGGTGGTCAGGGCAGATCTCAGCAACAATGTAAGGGAGAGCAGGAAGAGCTATATCAGTTTATACTCTGAGCTCTCTCGCACCACAAGTACAGAGGATACGACCAAGATGTGTATATTTGCAGACGGCTGTAACTTCTAGATACATAAGTAGTGGAAAAGTTCGGAGTGTACGCCCTCGTTTGTTTTTTTGTAAATGACCTCTGAATGAGCCCCTTTCAAAGGATACAATCCGACCCATCCTGGGGTAGAGTGTATCACATGGTGGGGGAAGTTGTACTGGTCTTGTGCATGATGCTCTGCGCATCGCCAGCCATTTGGATGTGTTACGATAGGCCGACAGAAGACGCTGGTCTCTGCCTTTTCGTGATTAACCGTTGTTACAACGTAACGAATCTTTGCTATTTTTAATCAGTCATTGTTTATTTTACAACCATTGCCACCTTGGTTTCTTGTGCTCAGGTAAGCATTGTGAATATGGACAGGCATTTTAAACGCTTACTTATCATCTGGAGTTCAATAACTCATGACAGTTACGTCAGACAGTGATTGACAGTACATCAGTCAATGACACCATTGTTGGCGCGCTGTATCACTGATACAACACGTCCCGTACACAGCTGGTACAACATGCACTACTCGACATCATAAAACAAAGCTCGCGCCACCACGAAATTCAATCGCAAGCAGACGCCAAATATTTTACGGGATATGCGGCATGCGTACTTTCCACTACGTTGTATGGTGTACAGATTAGCCTGGCTGTACCGCAAGACCTTACACACACATTTCCACCGATCCTAGAGTTTTCAGCGATATGCAAAAAAAAAATGTCACGGACACCCCAAGACGAGTGCGCGTATGCAATACATGCCGGCAGTACACTGAAAGGTAGACGTCGCTGTGGTGCGTCAGCCGAGTGACTCAGTACCGGCACCTATCGCATAGATTTGGAGAAAATCGCCCTCCAACTCCATGCATTCATACAACCCATCCCATTCGCTCCTAACTAGGCTTGTGACGCGTGTGATTCTGCCGCTTCAATCGTCAGGGTTTTTGCATACAGTTTGTTCCTCTTATGGCAGTGAGCATCATCGCGGAAAGACAAACATGGTAATACACCGGGCGGCGAAAACGTACTTCAAAATTTTCGTGATTTTACTGGGCGCGTACAAACTCACCTAAATGTTTTCCTTTTTGTGAAATGAGGTTTGAAGGAGGCACGCGGCTGTTTATTTACAGGGTGCTCGAGGATATTTTTGTCAAAAGCTTAATGTTTTGGATGAAGAATTGTCAGTTTTTTAAATATCATTCTCAGGTTGTCCGTATGCTGTTTGACGACAGGAGAAATGTGTGTGGTCTTATGCATAATGTAGCTGCGTACCACCACTTCCCGCTTTTCCGGATTTTTATACACCGCTCGAAGCGCCATTTACATATTGAGTGGGACATTAACCAAAGCATCCGAAGCAGTTTTCCAGCTGCTGAGGCGTATGCATCCCGTCCCATAGCGAGCGTCCCGTCCCATCACTGCAGCGTCGATGGTGAGCATCCCGACCCACCACGGCAGACGCCGCCCGCGTGGCAAGCTGCACTCCTTGCTCGACGGTCCGTGGATCGTGGTAGGGGGATGAGGGCGGGGGTCGTCGTGGTAGGGTATGGAGAGTCACGTGGCCCGCAGTCGGCAGCTCGGAGATGCTATGTGACGCTCCTCGACGTACTGAGTGGTGGCTTGGTTGTAAACCCTTTCGACCGATCGATAAAGTCGGTGCGGTTGGGGAGCGTCAGATTTGATTTCTTTCAACTGGTGCGGCCGCACCTCGTCGCATACCTGATCTCGCATCGGACGATCCTAGCCACGGATTCTTGGTGGGTCTCCTCGACGGGATCAGCGAGCAGAGCCAGAAGGATGGCTTCTGGCTGAGTCCAGCGGCCATTCCGCTGGGTGAGTGGTGGGACCATGCTCTGGATCAAGGGATCCAGATTTCTGAGTGGATGAACGGTGCGGAGCAAACTTTTGAAGCCGTTGCTACAATGCGGGTAACAGACACGGAATCTCGACCCAGGCAGGCACGTAGGGCCTCACAATACGCTCGGTAAGTGTCTGAGCCGTGTCGTTTGGCGCAATCGTTGACACACAAGTGTAAAAGCCGTACTGCCAGCGTCAGCCATGTGGCCAGGCTGAGAGGACCTATCTTTCTCAACACCAAATCTCATGGGATGCGACTTCTTACTGCAGCTGACGACAGTTGATACAACATCTATTAGTCTGCACTCGAATATGCAATAAGCTGCTTGTCAATGTTAGGCGCCAGACATGGCCTCGGACGATACCACTGGCTTCTTCTCCAGATCCTCTGCTAGCTTTTTACCGACGAGGCCAGAAATGATTTGGGACCGCTAGTGACGCCATCAAAATTGATTAACAGCTCACGCAGCATGCGTGAAGCTGGTGGATAAAACAGTGCACGGGCTTGCAGTCGAAGACCTCAAACAGATGACAGATGTCATTGTTTCTTCCCGCCTAACTGCAGCTGAATCCGCTCCAAAGACGACTACAGTTACAAACTCGGCATCGGCAGACTGAAACCTCTAGTGAATATCGCGTGCGTCCTCCCTGATGCTGGCGCAAGATGAGTCAAATGTTCCTCGCCTGGCTCGGCTATCATAACGTTTTCTTCCCGCTGCTTTCTACGTGTGGGCGGAGCCGTTTTATCCACCTGATTGCTAATCATCACGAAAAAATTATACTTACAACCATCAAAATATAATATTGATAAGCCAGGCTCGATCATCGCTATTTACCTTTTGCTTCGGCTGCTTGAAATTTGACTTAAAGCGTATCCCATCCAGCTTTTCGTCTACAATAAATTTGGTGCCACGGGACATTATACCACCTATGTAAACCTATGTAAACACATGATGTAAACATTGGCATGGCGGTTTCGTGAAGCAGAACCTGTGGGTATCCGATGGGGAGAGAGCAGGAGGCGGGAATAATGACCAAAATCGTGTAATGTAATCAATGGGCAGTCCACATTTTTGTTTTATTCCACTGCGGAACACGGAATTCTATGTATGTATAGTTGACAAGCGTCCAATTAGAGGGAATGTTCCACCTTTGAAATTATTGAAGCAAGCATCAGATGAGGTGAAAAAAGATTACTTGTGACCATCCATATACTTTCAAGTGGAGTAGGGTATTCGAGACAACAAAATTTATTAAGTGAAGATACCGTCCAATTTGTCATTGTGTCATTGTGTCATGGAACGTCCGGACGACGTTAAGACGCTGCCAAACTGGCCGTGCGACATTGCTACCCTCGCACTCACTTGTAGTACTCCATTCTACCAAGAGGTGGCCGCTGCGGTGCGGGAAGTGTTTGCCGAATCAACTATTACGTGCTCGCGTGTTGGCCCCTCGCGGTGCTCTTGCATGTGGAGTCTAAGCTGTTTACTTGTATTCACATACTCGCTTATAACGTTATTCCTAGATTATCATGTTGCTGGTTTCATTTCCGCAATATAACTCGGACCCATTCCAACTTGTAGTATTACGTAGAATGCAACTTCGGAAACTTGCACAGCCTGGACAACATTGATTTAGAGCGGAATGACGTCCGTAACGTACTATCTTGAAATAGTACGTATGACTGCCAGCTATGAACGACTCGACGATTACAGTCTTGCTGGTTTTGAACGCTGCCTGGCCAATGGGGTGACAGGATTTGAATGGTGTTTTTATGGCGTCATGCATGGCTGAATGACATTGAAACAGCCTAACGAGATGGTCTGCATGTCTTCGCAAGCATGTATGTCAGAGACTAGAGAGTTTCAGGCCCTAAGAAGGGCAGGGCCGTAAACCGCACCGCATGAGCTTAAAGATGGCTGTTTCAATTCAAAACCCCACAAAATATGGAACGTCCCTAGTGTATGCCGGTAGTATGCAAATGCATTAATACTGGCCTTCTGCTATGTGGGGCTGCAATAACTGTATTAAACTGTGTTCCAGCCTTCACGCTTTTTCTGATTGATCTACAAAACCAGGAACTCAACGAGTACACTCCAGGAAGAGACGACTTTGTCAAGAGCAAGGCATGCGTGAAAATAAGTAAGTTATGTCTATACGAACCACTGAAAGTGATCATGCCTGCCACTAAGGTTTCGCGAAATAAGTGCTGCAACAAGACGTTCTACCGACAGGAGTGCTATGACATTGCTTCCACTGCAAATACTCATACACGGCTTTAGTACTACGTGACAAATTTTACGCTGCAAAAATTTGTACCTGTCATTCCTTCTGCTGCAAACCTAGGCCTGGCAATCAGCAATGTGGGTCGGCGGGGTGCGTTGGACGCCGACTGCCCCGTGATTGTTCACATTGGTGCTGTGTGGAGCAAGGCCGGCTTTGAGTATCATTTCATTCAAAAATCATTCATGTTGGACTATGGCAAGGTATGTAGGCCCTGTAAGCTTTGTATGGGCTGTAGGCAGACGCTATAAGTACTGTAAGTAAGCTCGGGAAGTACTGCATGCCTTTGAACAGCAGCAATGGTATACGGGTTTGCTTTGTCGCTCTTGTGTCATAGATGTCACCAATTGTTTGTAATGAATTTTGAAAAATTTTGGTGGGCAGAGATCTAGCATCATACCTGTCCATAAAAGCACGATGTTCCTTATAGTCAGCGGACCACAATTCTATCAAGCTATGCACCCTTACAAACGTGTTTTTAAATACCTCCGAAATATTTTTAGTCGAAAATCGCTCACAAAAATTGTGTGGTTAGAAAATAAACGCAGAAAGGGTTTTTGAGCCATTAATTTGCACTGTCTTCTTTCGTGAAAACAGCTACTGTATAAGCTTTTTTGCAGTTGCTGCCGTCCAAAGGCGAAAGGCTTAAGTGCTATATTAACTAATGGCTCTCAGGCCTTTTTGCCTTTGGACGGTGGAGTAGACATCTGACGTGTACAAGTTTTTGAGGCATACATTTTGTCGTGCACGAGAGCAGTAGAATTAATGTCGGGTATAACTTGTCGTAGCGCTCCTGTCGGTAGTTTTTTTTTTTGCTCTAGTACTGTGTCGTGACACCTACCACTAAATGCAAATATATTCGCTAGCCGCATTCGCGTTCCTCTGCTTGTGAGAGATATTGGCAGCGCGCAGATCTCCGGTTCGTCTCCAGCAAATGATGGGCGGGCGGTACTGCCGCGGCGATGCGGATTCGGTCGGGTTTGCCATCTCTCTTTTCCCGCGCTACATGCGCAGCCGGCGGCGGAGCTTTGCGTTTTTCATGAAGGGGGGGGGATGAACTCATAGACCTTACCCATGCGATTTCCTCGACGCATTTTTCACAGATTTCGTCCAGTTTGTTGTCAATTTGAAGTTGACATGAGACAGAAAAGCCTTCAGCTCCTGTTGCTTTTTGGTTATGATGAGTTAAAAGTTTATTCTGATGAGTGAACGATGTTCAGTACGCTAAAAGATGCTACTTTAGAGACGTCTCAGAACTTCTAAAAATGCCAGTTTGTCACCTTGTTTTGGTTCAAAGACGGATTATTTGTAGGAGAAGAAACTGCCGCCATATGGCCATAGCATCCCACTGTCATAGCAGGGCCGCACGTGCCACAAATGGTGTTGCTTTCAGGCCGGTCCAGGACGCTGCGGAAAGACAGCAACTTCGAGTAGATGTTAAGCTCTTCCCGGAGAGACCAGCCAATGAGGCAACATAAAACACTTGATTGAATAGTGTGATGACAAAACTCCAGGACCGGGAAATTGATTGTCTCATTCTGCTTGTAATCGAACAATATGTGCAGACAGGAGTGGATCCAGCGGGGGGGGGGGGGCATGCAACCATGCCACCCACCCGTTGTACCGCTCATGAACTTTTGGTGCCCCTTCGTAGCGCCAAAATGTCATGGTGAACGGATGCCAAAAACCTTCATGTCGGAACCGCATGGCCTTGATCCTAAAGAGGCACCAAACTTCTGGGCCTTCGCAAAGTATCCCAAATGCTCACTTTCGAGAGCCATTGCACCCCAGGAGCACCACGACACCCGCGCCGTGTCCATTTGACGAAATCCTGGCTTGGGTTATTCCGAAAAGGAGCACTAAAATCTATCGTTAGGAGTTAAAACCCTTTATTTTCAAGAGCACCCAAGGCCAGAGGCGACCACAAATGGCCCAAGATATTTATTCTCAAGAGGCAAGAGGCGCCAAATTCCACAAACACAACAATGTTTCACTTCCCACCCCGAACACAATCCTGGATCGGTTCCATGGGCAAGGGGCACCCAAAGTTAAATGCCGGGGAGCCATGACCTTTATTTTTCAACACAAGTTGACGTGCTTTTCATTCTGACACTACTCCTGATTGGCTCAGTATTCACCATTTGACTAAGTGGCACCTAAACATTCATTTCTGGGCAGTCATGACCTTCGTTTTCCAGGAACACTTAATTACAGGGACATCTAAAGGTTTCCGACATCTTTATTCGTAAGAGACAACAAATTCCAGGGAGAGTTTCAAAATCCGTGGCGCTTCATTGGCGAAATCCTGGATCAGCCCATTATGCGAAGAAATGGCCAAAACCTTCAATTGGGGAAGCATTGCCTGTGTTTTTAAGAGGCACCAAATTCTAGGGAGTTACAACAAGGAGCTCCAAAAATTTGATTTTAAGTGGCATAAATTTCCAGGGACACAGCAAATCGTCCAGAGATCTTTATGCCACCGCCACCATAGGCAGGTGAACAGCGTTAGGCCTTGAAGGCCCGAAGTGTCCCGAGGGGCCGACAATCATCGGTCCGATCGGGAGGACCCAGGAGCATGCCGTATGCAAATAAAGGGAACCCAGTTAGAAGGCCAGACCTTTCAAATTCAGCCGAAGGTTCTGTCCACTGCTCTTGCACCGATCCCCTGGAACAGTGGGCTTTCTGTCAGTCAGCTGATCGGGGGCACCAACTCCGAACTACAGACCTGGTCGGTCTGGACCCTGGGCTCCTTTCCCAAGCAGGGAACCCTCTTGCGTTGCGTTATCCTGTCAGGCCATCATTTCCTGGATAAGAAACGGAGATGCATCACCTAGCTAGCAGAGAAGTAGTGGTGTGCCATCACCCAGGAGGTGGGGAGGGGGACCTTGATGCGTTTTGAATGTGATAAATCCCCATTGCTATAACAACGCGATGGGTTTACTTAAGAGCGCGGATAAATCCAGCACCCACTTTCAAGTTTGCTGCTTGTGACAAGACAGTACTCCTTCTCAGTGACGTGTATACTCAAGGGCTATGACCTCCTCCTCCCTCTCAGTGGACCACCAGACGCCGACAGCGCTGGCGGCTGCCAGCGGGGAGGCGCTGATCATCGACTCGATTGCCGTCGACGCCCGGTTTCCGCTGGGATTCGGCCTGGGCGTGTCAGAGAAGGTCGGTCCGCGCCGAGCCTGTCCAGATAGCGATAGTCTGCAGCGCAGGGTGTCAGCGCACGGCCCTCGTTGTCGGCCGCCCACCGGTCGACCGCCTACGAGCAGGAAGGCTGATCACGCCTCCTGGCCGTCGCCAGAGTTGTGCCCGTCGGCGCATCTCGAGACGTGACCCTCGATTGCACTCCTTACTCTGCTGGCGTGTGTGATGTACGATAAGACGTGGCACAGCTGCCCAAGAGTGGTCGGCTATTGTGACGTCCAGTCTGGGGCTGTTTTGTGACTGCGTGACACGGCCCGGTCTGGGGCCAGGGCCGGTCGTCTCTCGTGATGTCCGGGCTGGGGCTGTGTTATGACTGCGTGACACGGCCCGGTCTGGGGCAGGGCCGGTCGGCATCTCGTGAGTGTCCGGGCTGGGGCTGTGTTATGACTGCGTGACACGGCCCGGTCTGGGGCAGGGCCGGTCGGCTCTCGTGATGTCCGGGCTGGGGCTGTGTTATGACTGCGTGACACGCCCGGTAGGGGGCAGGGGCCGGTCGGCTCTCGTGACGTCCGGGCTGGGGATGTATTGTGACCGCATGACACGGCCGGTCTGGGGCAGGACCGATCGGCTCTCGTGACGTCCGGGCTGGGGCCGTATTGTGACTGCGTGACACGGCCCGGTCTGGGGCAGAAACCGGTCGTCTCTCGTGACGTCCGGGCTGGGGCTGTATTATGACTGCGTGACACGGCCCGGTCTGGGGCAGGACCGTCGTCTCTCGTAACGTCGGGCTGGGGATGTATTGTGACGCATGACACGGCCCGGTCTGGGGCAGGGACGGTCGGCTCTCGTGGAGTAGTCCGGGCTTGGGATGTATTGTGACCGCATGACACGGCCCCGGTCTGGGACAGGACCGGTCGGCTCTGTGACGTCCGGCCTCGGGTTGGCTGTATTGTGACTGCGTGACACGGCCCGGTCTGGGACAGGAACGGTCGGCTATCGTGACGTCGGGCTGGGATGTATTGTGACCGCATGACACGGCCCGGTCTGGGGCAGGACGGTCGGCTCTCGTGACGTCGGGCTCGGGCTGTATTATAACTGCGTGACACGGCCCATCTGGGGGAGGACCGGTCGGCTCTCGTGAGTCCGGGCTTGGGATGTATTTGATCCGCATGACACGGCCCGGTCTGGGACAGGACCGGTCGGCTCTCGTGGTGCCTTTGCCCGGACTAGCGGTGCTGGAGCTCCGGCGCGGTCTTCAGCACGAGCCGTTCGAGGTGCACCACCTGGAGACGGCCAACGCCATTCTCGCTTGGTTTAACATCGCCATCTCCAAAATACAGGTCCGTGTTCTCCAGCGACGCGGCAGTGTCAACATGTTCTAAGCAGGCATTGCGGTTTGAACCAGACGAATATTCATGACCAGCGTCCCGCAGGGTCTGGAGTCTTTCAAAAAAGGAAGAAAATGAAGTGGATATGTTTTGCTTCCCTCGCCCGGCTCGTTTATTATATATCTATATGTAATGGTTTCCCTCTGTTGTGCTGTAATGCTTTTTCAAAAGCTTTGACCGTAACACTGATGTAGTAGAAGGTGAGTGCCACCCGGTGGTTTTTATATTAGGCAGGCCTTTGGCCTATATCGTCATGGCAGAAACATAGCACAGAAGTAGTTATATGTCCAGCGTGCGTGATTCCTTTGCATTAGATAACATTTTTGCTTCGCCCAGCTCCTTCACAATTTCTGGGAACGTTGAGCAGCATTGGTGTTTGATTCGGTTGGGCCGTGTGGGCTGGCTGCAAGTATCCGCAACTACCTCGTGTAGTGTGGTGGTTTAGGCTCAAAGCGCTTTTGATGGTCGGGTATGATGACATGACAGCAGGAGCAGCATAGATCCGTGAGAGAGAAGCTGACACTGCCTTTTTAACTGAGCACGACCGAAAGGTGGTGCGCTGCGCAGGTGTAGTTCCGCCTGCAAGCCAACAGGAGGGAGATATACGTCTAAACATTTTTATTTGCTTCCCGTCAAATATCACAAACGACATGTTGCTAAACATAGTAAAAGAACGCTCGATGGGACTATCGACTAACGACTATTTTTCAACTTGATCGAGAATGAAAGGTAGCAAACCAGACTTGGTCCACCCCACTACAGGATGTTGCCGATCATATCTGTAGATATCATCAATGGCACAGCTAGAGTCTTTTCAAGGGTGGGGGAGGGGGGCGCGGGGTTGAGAAAGAACCCACTGATGGTATAAGGCTCCTTCCCAAAAAATCCCTGGATGTGGCCCACTTGTTTATGAGGAGCCCACTTTTCTCTGTTTTATTATCATTTTTGCTTTCTATAGCTGGAACAGAAGTCAAAAGCTGTCGTGATATTAACACTGTTTGGATTTCGAAGGCAGCACTTTTTACGGCGGCAAATGTGTTTTGAAGCACTGCGTAGTAAGCCGTCGTAGTTCAAAGCCAACCTGCTTTTTGACTGGGGAGCTTGCTTTGTGAGATAGTTTCTGATGTTCATTTCAGATTTGTTGATAACATGGACGGCAGTAGACATCTTCTATTGAATTTTTAAAAGCCAGGGTAGGTATCTGTCCTAAAATGAACCAGATCAACCCTTTTTTTAGGACCGTGCCGCCTAGCATAATCCTTCACGCGCATTAAAATTCAAAAATCAAAACAGTCCCGTAGGTTTTTGGTTACCATGACCTTTTAAAGGCCAAACAATGTCACTGAACAAAATTTATACTAGCGACCTTCTGCGTAGAACAGAAATCTGGGTTTGGGTCGGTTATATAAGGAGGTCTGGGAGCACTTCGGATAGCAATCGAGAATTTGAACTTGTTTGGCCTTTTTTGAGCCGAGGATCTATGAATCCTATGAAAATATTTTATCCGAAGACCCATGAACTTTAAAATTTGACACAAGTGAGTTCGCCTAAGACCAACCTGCCTTGAGAGTTTGGTGTCTCTAGCTCACTTGGTTCTGGAGATTTCAGGGAGTGGAGGGTCAGGTTGAACCCACCACCACCCGAACAAAGGATACTCCACCGGCCGTCCGGGCCAGTATTAGCGCGTCCACGGTTAAAATTCGGTAGGAGGGCCCGCCGTTCGATACTGGGGGTCTGACTAACACTGGGCCCAATTCTATTAGCACTTCCACTAACACTAGCACTTTCATTGCCTCAATGTGAACACTCATCATAAGTTCTCCGAGTTCCTTTCATTGTCAGAGGGCCCCGGCCAACGCAAGAGGCCCTCCGGCATTCTGGGTCCCGTCCCTGTCCCTGTTCATTTAATATGTTCCTGATCGACTCGAGGCCCCCTGTTGACATACGACACTTTGTTAGGCACTGTCTGCCCCTCACCGGAACCCTCATTGTTTCAGGGATCCCTGCCGATGCAAATCATGGGCCCGGTCTTGCTCGTGCTTGGGAAATGAGTCCGCACACAAATGAGACACAGGGCCGACTGTTGGGTGTTGGTGGTCTCTGGCCGAAATAGAGGCCCACACCGGCCCACGAGGCCCCGATCGATGCCGGAGGCCCCCTGACAGACGTTCGAAGTCACAGCCCTACGCCCGGGGGCCGTCCTTATCGTGACCCCTCGGCCCTTTAGCCTCCCAATCGGGCCATCGGTCTCCGGTCCCAAGGGACCCCTCAATGTCTCTTCGTGTCTCCTCAGACAAAGTCCGAAACGGACTCGGGGCCACTTGCCGATGCATGACCCTGTTAAGCGCCGCGGTCCCTGACCTATGGAGGCGCCCCGATAACTGTTTCAGGGACTTAGACCTATACACACCGTGCGTCTGCAGTGCCGGCCCCGCTCAGCCTTCGGAAAAGGGACCCTAGGGTTCAGACCGACACGGCACCAACGTTCCGTGTCAGTGATCTTTGGCCGACATAGACGCCCGCATTGTCTCAGGGTCCTCAGCCGGTGTAAGATGCCCCATGACTGGTACTTCAGGTCACGGCCCTACGAGCCCGGATCCTTTCTGTGATCTAAAGGCAGCCCTTCAGACCCTTATGTCCCCCCCCCCCCCCCCAATCAGGCTCTTGATCGTCGGTCACGGTGGGCGCCCGTGCCCCCCTCCGGGCTTAATTGAACACCGCCCTTAGTGGATTCGGGAACCCCGTGCCAACACAGAACACTCTGTTAGGCACTGTGGGTCTCTGACAGATACAGGGGCCCCGACCAGTGTAAGCCGCTGCCCCCGGCTTTGCTGCTGCTCGGGAAGTGAGTCAGCAACAGCTGAAGCAGTTTAGCTTCCGAGCTCGGTGAATTGTGGTAAATGCGTGTTGCAAGGCTGCCTGTCACGACCTGGGCTAGCTAGCCGGGTGTGGCTGTGACTGGAGCTGGAGCTGGAGCTGGGGCTGATGCCGCCACCGCCCGGCAGCTCAGCGAGGTACTGCAGCACCAGGAGGAGCTGAACGGCTTCCTGCTGGAGGTGGCGCAGTCCCTGTTTGAGGACGTGTTCGCGCAGGAGACGCTCATCTCCAAGATCATGGTGTACGCCAAGTCGCTGGTCGCTGCCGAGCGGGTCACCTTTTTCTCGCTGGAGGAGGAAAAGAACGAACTGGTGGCGTCTCTGTTCGACGATGGTCAGGTACGCTGGCCCGAAGTGGTGGCACCTCTGTTTGACGATGTTCAGGTACGCTGGTCCGAACTGGTGGCGTCTCTGTTCGACGATGGTCAGGTACGCTGGTCCGAACTGGCGGCGTCTCTGTTCGACGATGTTCAGGCAAGGTGCTCCATGGACGGTGACGGTTAGGTTGAAGTAAGACCTGCCCCAAATGGTTAACTCATTTCTACCAGAACAATTACGTAAGTTGTTCAGTACCTTAGCGAGGAACATTGTTCACGTAGATCAGACAGTAGCATTGGCCTTATTCCTCGGAGAAAAACCAGGAGAATGGAGAATTAAGTCTTTCAACCACAACAAATCGCGGCCAGCTTATATCTTGCAACATTTGCGCTGTTTTCGGCCGTGCCTATGTTTACGGCAGTGTTTAGTGTAACTATAGCCCTGCCATAACGAATGTACAACTACCGCCGCTGGTCTTGCATTCCTCCTGAATTACAAAAGTGTCCCAGCATTGGGATCTGATTTTCCGCAGAAGTCACTCGACCTGGATATGGTGTAATTGCCACTTCAGTGACGGGAGTTTGCCAGCGAAATATTTTTACTTGCGCTGAAAGGAGATATCAATGTAACCTTGGGGTGATGTGTTATCTCCCCTTTTACCAGCCGTTCGCTCTTCAGCATTTCTGCGGTGCTAGCAGTGTAATAAGGACCCTGTGGTAGTCCGACACCATTACTGTCTGCCAGAGTTATGATAATTTTTAGGGCGTGAGTATATCGCCCGAGGCGAAAAGCTCAAAAGGTCACTCTGCGTTTGCTGGAGTCGCTGTTTTCGGTACCACTAATTTGCAGCAATTTAATAGATCATAAAGTTGCAGAACTTGTTTGGTAGGACCAGTACCCTTTTACAGGGCCATCACCGCAGAGTGTTGCTCACAGGGTACAGCGACAACTCGTTTAGATGCTTTTTAACATGCTACTTATGGCTAAAGCGTCGTAAAAGAAACAGTACTTCACTCATTGCTTTTAAGTGGTGTTTATATGCCGTCGCAATTTACATGCACTTAATAGTTGGATAGGGGAACAAGGCCGACTTCGAAGGGTCACTGCAGTCTGGTAGCGAGCTCAATACGGTAAGCAAGCCTGATTACCGTGAAGTTCTGCAACCAGTTACCTAAAGAAGTCCTTTCATGCTACCCAAGTATAGTGTAATTGTCTCTATAATCATCGCTGGAAATAAGAATGTTTACATTTGGAGTAAAATAAAAAATATCAAGGGTAGAGAGAACTACATACAATGTACATCATGAGAGAGAAGTGGGCCTTTAACATTGCGACGTCATATTAGCTTCGAGCATGAAATTCCCTGTTGAGATAAAGTGGGCCACCACAGCCCAGCTCTCCCAGGCTTACGCATGAAGCCATGGTGACGCAACCCTACCTGTAGACGTCAATATACAAGGTTGGTGGAACTAAGTGATAATATGGGAGTGACGTGGTTGTCATATACGCCAGAGAGAACAATTCTATTACGGCATTAACAATGATACTGCTGCGAAAGCTAGGTGAACACAAAATTATTTTCATAATCCTGTGCAACCAACCCATCCAACGGTCTCGAGGCCCAAAGAAGGATTGCAAAACAAGGGAGTGTCTCTCCAGCGGCGAATATTTTCCAAAATAACCGCAGAAAAAAACACTGAAACACAGGTATTGTAGGCGCCTCTCACCCGTCTCGTGCCATGCCATTTTATATGGTGATGACTTCCGATTTCAGCGCTGCACATATTCAGATCAAATCAGCCCAGAAAAAGTGCCGACGACGCGCGCTTAGTCATTTTTATCACGACTGCTACAGTAGCGCAGTGTGCTCAGCCGGATGGCTGAATGCCATCTTCCGTTCTCTCGCTCTGCCGCAGGTGATTAACGGCTCGCCCGTGCTCTCCAAGCGGAGCGAGATCAGCTTTCCCCTGGGCCGCGGCATCGCCGGCTGCTGTGCGCGCCTCGGCGAGCTGGTAAACGTGGCGGACGCGTACGCCGACCCGCGCTTCAACCCGGACGTGGACCGCAGGACGGGCTACAAGTCGCGCGGTCTGCTCGCCTACCCGGTCAAGGCCAAGGGTCGGCTGCTGGGCGTGCTGCAGGTCGTCAATAAGATAGGTGCGCGTGCCGTCACGGCGGTGACTCGAGCGCCGGGCCAGTCTCGACCGAAAGGGAGGTGGCAGAGAACGCCCGGGGTGTCAGTTGTCTTGTCTTGTCTGATATCTAGGTAGTTCCGGCGCGTATCGCTTAATTGGTGTCTGGCTACCTTGCATTGAGAATGTTGAGAAATAGCGTGTCGGGACGGCACTTCATATTACATTTCTTCGCGAGAACCCCTGTTTTGGGGGTTTTACCCTTCGCGTGTCCGTGTTGCTTTTAGTTAGTGTCACTCGGATGATCTGTATATCACTATCCATTCCAGCAATGTATGCATATGTTTGTCCTTTTGAAAAAGAAAGTCACTGGGCATACTGTTTAACTCAGTTCAAAGAAGACGATACGATACAATTATCCGAAATTTATGAAAGTATGCTTGCAGGTCATCTTATTTCCATATTGGCGTTATCCATTATCTATCTTCGTAAGTACTTTAGATATTTGTAGTGGTAGGTACTTATTTGGTACTGCTTCTAAGGGTTCTTGGTTCAGGTTCTTGGTGTGTAGAATCATGGTTGCTGGTGTTTGTACTTTGCGATATTAATGCTGGGGTGACATGCAAATCTCAGTACTGATGTGGCTTCTCGATATTTCCCACTTTATCTGCCAAGCACGTAATTAAATATCTAGTCGTCTGGCACATGGACTTGAGCCCTTTTCTGTTCCGCAACGTTATTACCATACGTCCTATCGTACGTGCTCGGGTTGTGGTCAATTTGACCCCTGCCCCAGCCTAAGGTTTTCCTGGATAATTCCCGAACATTGCGGTGAAGCATTGCCAAACTTTATATTGCTATGGAAAATTGAATAGTCAATATTTCCCTAGAACAAAATTATGCCTACCTCTTAAGGTCGCTGGCCTGTCGCAGGTCAGTCATGCTATGCTTGTCTGCGAGGGCGCTTCTCAGAAAATCTCAGGCTGATGCGACAACGGAGTGCTGTACGATTTCATGCAACTTTGGGGTAGTGTTTTAGACAATTGAGTGATGGAGATCTGTATTACAACTAATTTCGTTGACATTCGGTCAGTTACAAAGGTCGGATCAAGGTCAAAGCCAAACTGTTTTTGCGGGAAAAGTTGCTCTTTGGGGATGGTTTTTGACACCCATTTTGAATTCCCTGGCTACAGCGAGGACAGCAGACTTATTGTGTTGACTCGCTGACTTACTGGCTGACCTCAAATGACATCTAACCTTTTGATATGAGGAACATGTCGCCCAAGGTAACTTTCGCGCTAATTTTAAACTTAATAGATCAAAATAATTTCGACGATATTGTGTAGTTCTGGTATTTTAAACCTCAGGCAAGGGCAGTGGCCTGATATAAACTCGAGCCACTTGCTGCTTAGAAAAGTATCTTGGTTAAAGCTGGTGGCGTGAGAGCATGTTGGGGCGCTTATGACACCGATCTCGAGTTTCAAGTTGTTTAACCCGAAGCCCACAACCTAAGGATCTAAATGTTTGCCACAACTGAGTTCACATAGAGTTCTACCGTCACTGTGGAGTTCGTGACTCCAGCTCTTAGTTTTCAACACCTCAGGCGGTCATTTGACACCCCAACCCCATCATACTCGCCACCTGAGCGCGTCATATTCAACCAGCAACCCGGGTGCGCATTAAGCCGGAAAGCGCCAATCAGAGGATATTACTACAGCAAAGTAAAATGCTGACGCTAGCCATATTGCTCCGAGGTGAACGGCCACAATTCCCTGTCGTGAGTCGCTTATAGACAAGAAAATTTGATCGAAAGCTTCTTGTTTGGAGAATGTTCACGTATGTATATTTTTTTAAAAATCCTATTCAAAACACATTCTTGAATTTGTTTTGCGCATTTGTTTGGCATGGCGGCATTATATCAAGGGACTAATCAAGGGCAGATATAACATCAGGGACGTTAGCTACGCGTGTAATGACCTCGAACATTCTTTTCTACCCGTACGGTATTTTCGTTGCTGGGGCCTGTAACCTTGCGACCGTGCGTCCGGTGTGCGCCCACTGTGACCCCCGGCAGCTCCCCTGGCCCGCTGCGTTTGCAGGAGGCGAGCTGTTCACGGCCTCGGACGAGGCGGCCATCCGAATGTTCGGCGTGTACTGTTCGCTGGCGCTCTACTACGGCATCATGCACGACAGAAGCCAGAAGAAGGCACGGCCGCTTCCCACGCACTATTCCTTGATGAGTAGTGTTGCGTTCTTAGAAAGCGTGACCGCGAACGAGATACGCGGTGTATGGTCTTATGTGGGCCTTGGTTGGTATGATAGGGCTGCCATCGTGACCCAATGAACACAAGCGGTCACTACATTCCGCTGTATCACAATCGAACGTGTCTTTGGAACGTAAGCCAAAAACTACATAGGGAGACAAACACTAAGCAGCACTGATCCCATAATCACAGTCGTTCGTTGGCAGGCGGTATCAGAATGGCGTGCTTTATCGATGACCATTGAGCGCTAGAACCGCACAGCGTGCGCGCCCGGGCCCGCTCCCCCGAGAGGCGGCTGTGGTGTCTGGCGGTCCTGACGGCCGACCTCACCCAGGAGCACCAGCTGAGCGAGTGCATGGACATGCTGGAGTACCACTCGACGGCCAGTCCCGACGAGCTGCGGCTCTACTTCGAGCAGCCGCTGCCGGCCGCCGTGCCGCCCGCCTTCGGCACGTAAGCGGTTCCACAGCGGGGCGGGGCGGGATGGAGCGGGTCGGGCTAGGCCGGCCCGGGCCGGGCCGAGCCGGAGCGGGCCAGGGCGAGGGGGGAGGGGACGGGACGGGACGGGACGGGATGCGAGAAAAAGGCTGCGCCGGCGTATGGGTACCTCGCGAACGGGGGGATGTCGGCATATGCGCCCCGATATGCGATACAGTATAACACATCTACGCGACGAAAAACTGGACAAGCGGGCCATGACCATTTAGAATAGCCCCTTCGTGTTGCGGGCGGCTGTATGCGTGCACACAAGCGCCCAGCTGCTCACGTGACGTTCGTAGTTTTCCTTCCGAGGTCAGGTTTGCCTACGTGGATGAGCTCACCACAGTTAGAATAACTGCAGTTTGGTTTGGTTTGTAATGCTCGTAAAGATATTATGCTATCAGTATGTTCCATGAACACTTACATCACAGATTTTCAGCGGTGTGAAATATATCTTAGCCTCAAACGAACACGGTTCGTCACATGTGTAAGCAGCTTCGAAAAGCATGCAAACTCTTCCTGTGGTGCAAGCCTACAGAGTTTCCGGGATCGTGGAATCCAGAGTAGTAAGACGCAATAGCTTATTATGATGTAATTTAAAATGTCATGCTTCATTCTCGACGCTGGGGTAAAATAATACTTTCTGATAATGCTTGTGCGCGAGGTTGGCCTGTCTTTTTACCATTTTCACTTCCACTGGTGGTTTGAAGCCATGTGGTCGGAGCGACTTTTCGCCTTTTTGGTCCATGTTTGGCGTGTTTCGCCTTTTGGTCCATGTTTGGCGTGTTTCGCCTTTTTGGTCCATGTTTGGCGTGGGCATTGCTAGCGGAGCAATGCTTAGCTCAGCAAAGGCAAAATAAAATGTGTTTTGCCCCCTTCTAAAGTGTTAAATGTGTCTTACCCCTGCAGAGTGCCCTTTGTAGCCAAACGTGGTTAGAATAATATTCTGTCAAAGCGGAGCGGTGCTCTCTTTTGTATGCGCAGCTGGAGTGGACCACAAATGGGAGCCCCCCGTCTACCAAAATCGTTAACCGATAACGCTTTCCCTGCTTCCGGTTCAGCGTGGAAGGCAGAAGCGAGAGAGAAACAGGAAGCGGAAGTACAGTTAAACCGATTCGTTTGGTGACTATTTTAAACGGGTTCTAGACATATGCAGCTTTTGTTCCGATTTTCCATATGAGAAAGAAGCGGCCCAGCTAGGAGCAAAGGTCCTAGCTGGGTACTTTTCTACACAGCAATTCTGGCGCTGTACCCCTGTGTGACTTGCCAGTAAAGAATATGACATCCTCATGCATCCGACATTTTCGCACTTCCTTTCCATTCCAGACAGCACATATTTTGCCGGGCAGGGATAAGTACATCAGCTGGAAGCACTGCCATGAAACGAACTAGGTGCGCGGGAGAGACGCTGGTTCTTAAAATCGCTTTTCATCCTTCCAGCACATTCAAACTCCTCCAATCCGCCCGCTGTCCAGAGCGTTGTTTTGATGGTCCAGCACCACTAGGTTTGGAAAGTGCAGAGTACCCGAGTCACGCCTCGGCTGGAGGCTGCGGCAAGATCACACCTCAGACTTGGACTTTAAATTACTCGGACAGGCTCCATTCTATTAAATATTTCAGACAAGCTCCCTCTATCTAAGTTACCCAGGTTAGGTGTTAGTGTATTCCAGGCGGAGGTGCGGGATTCGGCGCAATTTCTTCACAGAGTAGTTGCTAAACATTACACTTCTCTTTGTGATATTCGCGTAAATCCCAAAGGCTTTCATAAAAAAGTGTTGGAGATTCCATCCCCACGAACGCCTCAGCGCCTCAACCTCGACGGCCTCGGAGGGACTTCTGGACCGGGATTCCGACCCCACGAGCGCTTCAGCGCCTCAGCCTCGACGGCCTCGGAGGGACTTCTGGACCGGGACTCCGACCCCACGAGCGCTTCAGCGCCTCAGCCTCGACGGCCTCGGAGGGACTTCTGGACCGGGACTCCGACCCCACGAGCGCCTCAGCTCCTCAACCTCGACGGCCTTGGAGGAACTTCTGGACCGGGACTCCGACCCCAGAGCGATTCTTGGTCGGTGACCCCGACCTCTGCCCACCCAGGGCTGGAGCATGAGGTCTACGCTCTGAACGGTGGGCAGTGTGGACGGGTCAAACTTGCTGGAAGGAGGGAGTGCGATTTTAGAACCCAGCTCCTCCCCTACAGACTTGGCCCACTTCATGGAACTGCTTCTTTGTATGTACTCACTTCTGCGCAGCGAAATGAGTAGGAACTCCGAAAATAGAAGGGTTTTTGAGGATATACTTAACATAAGGGTGTGATATTCTATACTGGCCAGAGTCATATTTTTTTCAGCGCAAAGATGTGTGGAAAAAAGAGCTGCACACCTTTGCATTGCTTGCGCTTGAGGTGCATTATCTAATATTTCTGAAACTTGCATGACTAATTCTTGAAATTGGGGTACTATCCCGCCGTAAGCACCAGGTACGCTTTCAGCTCCCCCCACCCCACTCTCCCGACCGCTGGCATCTCTTCCAGTCAGCAGTCTCTGCCTACCACACTGAAGCAGCAACAGTAGAATCGGAAAGGACAGACAATTTCCCAGGCATAAGTTTCTCTTTCTAGTTCACCTAGGCGGAAGCAGAAATGGGGGAAGGGGAATTCCACCCGTTTGCCGGGGAATGTGCGAAAGCGCGCCCTGAATGTGCTTAGTGCTACGTGTGCTATGTGCTAAGCGCTAAATGCTATTCAACAGTTATGTGAAACTGGCAGAGCACGTCTAATGTAGTCCTTCAGTCAGCCTCCAGTGCGGGACGAGTAATTAGCTGGGTTTCTTTCTCATACGGTCCCCCTTCCCTACCAGCACTGGGCATACTGAATATATAGGTACTCGCAATTGAATAATCACACCACATTCATCTTTTCCACCACGGTTAGCCGTAACTACGGAATAAATAAACAAGATGGCCGACTCACAACATGCCTATTAGCTAGCACACTTCCCATCTGGCGCCGTCCACGTTCTGAAGTTGAAGAGCTGCGACCCCGAAAGCCCCCTTCCCCCCACAGGTCACATCACAATGCTGGTAAATGGCCTTATTTTGGAAGTTTAATGAAGGCTAGTCGCTGAACGTGGCACCATAAGTGTACTTAACAAACTTTTCGAAAATATGGCCAAGGAAAGATCTGTTCCGGGAGTGCAAAAAAAAAGAAGTTGGGCCAAGGCCCAGAAACGTGGCCCGAGGATAATCCGTGAAATGGATTTTTGCCAAAGCCATGATAGTTATTATCGCGCCACCCGCCTCAATTAGTATTTGACAATGATCGAAATCTGATTGCAGTACGTTGACAATGACTATTCTAGTTTATCTGGCAAACAGCCTGAACAATGGCGTAACCTCAAAAGCCAAGCGATCTAACCCATTTCGTCATTCGACAGAATTAAGTGAAGCAAAAGCTTATACCCCCACCCAAAATGTTAGGTGTAATACATCTCCGTCGACCCGATCCGTTGACTCCCCTTAACCCAACGTCTGGGTTGAGGAGAATTCACGACGAGCAAGTCAAAGGCTTTGCTGCCGTTTCGACCGATGTCACGATCTTAGAGCGTGTTTAGAGGGAATTGTTTGTAGCTGTCAAAACAAGATGAGATTAACGTTGTGCTTGGGCGTTTAGCACACACATGCTCGAAAAGCGCGATGGAAGGTGCCGCCACGCACGCATTGGCATTTGTGGTCTACACGTGGCATCCTTTGTCGGCAATCAGTAATATTTTTCTTTATCAATATGTTGATCAAAATTTGTTACTAGTGCTTACAGGCGCGCACAAATTCGCAAGTAAAAAGTGATGCACAATAGCCCTTGGTCTCCCACACATAGCGTCACACGATGAATGGCTTATTGCGTTAAGTATACGGTGATAAGTCAGTTGTGGCGCGAGTGCCTGAGATGAAACGCGCTGTCGTAGGCAAACACAAGAATGAGCGTGCTATTACTTTACGCTGCAAATATCTCGCGAAATCCAGCTCTGAAGCTTTGAGCGGCGTATCGTTGACTGTCACTGTTGTTACTGGTAGTTCTGCCGGCATTTCTGATTATTCAGGATCACTATGTAGACTAAAATCTAAACAATCTAGAATCTACACAAACAAGTAAAGGTGCGGTGCCGTAGAGACATAGCCAATGGCAGGGCCGAGGGCCATCCTTCCTTCCCCTCACTCAGCCAGGAGTCCTACACTAGATATCAGATAAATCGGAGGAATTGTGTGTAGATGTGCGCAATTTCGTCCAAATCTGCAAGAATTTGGTCTCATTCTGCAGAGTTTGGAGAAAAACTAACATTTTCCCTTTTCCGGAGGGTAATAATGGCTTCGTGCCTGGTGCCAAAACTGGGCAAAACTGAGGGAAGTATTGCATATGTTGAACTGGGTGCTGTCAGTCATCATTTCGTGTGACATGACCACAAGCTCAAGGTCATTTGAGAACGCGATGCTTCAGCGTACGTTGATGTTTTACACGTACGCACGCCTTCGCCGCCGAATTTGTCGTGGTTGGGCTTTACCCTGTCATTGTTGTCGTTAGTTCGGCTTCGTGGCACGTCGACAGCAGCGGTCTACCTTGTTATTGCTTCTCGGCATGCGCCGTGTCGTCAGCCCAGATGGTCGCACGTGGCTCGCCAGGACAGGCCCGTTCGGACCTCGCCCGCTCTGACCCGGTGCTGACCCGGCGCTGACCCGGCGCCCTCTCCCTCCCGCGGCGGCAGGTTCGGGTGGGCACCGGGCCGCGAGCACAACCTGAACCGCCTATACCTGCACATGTTCTTCGACCTGGTGGGCGACACGCGCCTGCCGCCCGAGCGCATCGTGACCTTCACCACCACCGTCATCAAGTCCTACCGGCGCGTCCCCTATCACAACGCCACCCACGCCTTCATGGTGGCGCACACGATGTACAACATCCTCAAGCGCAACGCCAGCGTCTTCAGTCGTCTCGAGGTCCGGTGGCTGTCGGGCGATCGTCGCGGTTTGCGAAGGGAGCGCGACTCGTCACAGTGCTGCTACACTGCCGGGTGTGCCGCCCATGAGGGCAGTCGCGACTCGGGCTCCGGCCCAGCGCTGGCGTGACACTGCCTGGCGTGCTCTGCGAGCCGCTCCATTTCGATGCAAGGCGCCCCCACCGGTGGCCCGACCGAGGTGCTGCATTGGCCTGGCCTGGCGTGACCCGGCCGGTCTGACCCGGCCCGCCGTCTCCAGATCCTGGCACTTCTGGTGGCGTGCGTGTGCCACGACGCCGACCACCGCGGCTACAGCAACACATTTGCCAAGGCGTACACTGGCCTAGGCGGGCTCTACAAGTCGTCCGTCATGGAGAATCACCACTTCGCGACCACGGCCAGCATCCTGCAGCGGCCGAACCATGACATCCTGTCCCAGCTGAGCGGCTCGGAACGGAAGGAGGTCAGACGGTCTGGCGGCCGCCGCCGCGACCTCGGATGCTGCGCTCCCAGCCTGTTCGCACGGGTCTCGGTGAAGCGCAGGCACACTGGGGCCGAGTGTCGCTAGCTGGGAGCTAGGCACCAGGCTCGGCTGCTGTCCCTTCTATGCTCGGTGACGCGGGTATGCTGCTAACAGTTGGGGGCTCGACGCCAGGCTCGGCTGCTGTCCCTTTTATGCTCGGTGAAGCGGGTATGCTGCTGACAGCTGGGAGCTCGACGCCAGGCTCGGCTGCTGTCCCTTCTATGCTCGGTGACGCGGATATGTTGCTAACAGCTGAGAGCTCGGCTGCTATCATTTCCATGCTCGGCGACGCGGGTCGGCTGCTAACAGCTTGGAGCTCAGCGCCAGGCCCGGCTGCTGTCCCTTGTATGCTCGGTGACGCGTGTCTGTTGCTAACAGCTTGGCGCTCGGCACCAGGCTCGGCTGCTGTCCCTTCTATGCTCGATGACGCGGGTCTGCTGCTAACAGCTGGAAGCTCGGCACCAGGCTCGGCTGCCTGTCCCTTGTATGCTCGGTGACGCGTGTCTGTTGCTGACAGCTGGGAGCTCGGCTGCTATCCCTTCTATGCTCGGTGACGCGCATCTGCTGCTGACAGCTGGCGCGTCTCTGACTCTCCTTCCTGACCGTGCCCTTGCGACAGGTGCTGGATATCATGTTTGAGGCCATCATCGCCACGGACCTGGCTGTCTACTTCCAGATTAGGCCTAAACTGGAAGCCGTGCTAGGCGCCGGCGAATTTAACATCAACCAGCAGGAGCACAGGTGGGGAGGCCTGGCGGCGGGCCGCTGCTAAATTTCGTCATCCCGGGCCGTGGCGTGACCTGACTCGAAGCGCTGGTCTTAGTATCTTACAGGTTGCAATCGGGTAACTGCCGTGAAGATCACTTTTCGACCAACGCCGACTACAGCGGCTTTGCTAATTACTGCAGTGTAGAAGGACATTCGACCATGGTATTTCCACATCCCGAATGCGCCTTCCAATCTCCCCGCCCCTTTGAGAAGAAGGTGGGCAAATGGGCGCAGAAGCCCGTTTGTTGCTGTTCTGTGAGGCTAGGTTACGTCATCTCATGGCTCCCCCCCCCCCCCCCCACATGTTTTGTGAGACGACGCCATTGCACCGACTTGGTTTACTACGACGGGGCCGTGTCTGTGCGGACTGAACAGGCATGGCCGGGTTGCCCCTCCCCCAAATAGAAAGCGTGTTCAACAGGATGTGGCCAAAACAATCATCTTCCATGATTGGGGTGTATCATATGATTCCAGGCTAAGCCATACCAATTTATGGGCAAGGTGGAGTCGACCGAACGCGAGGGCGTATGCATAATTTGTCAATAGATAGGGACCTATTTTGTCGTTGAAAACGGAAAATAGCGGGATATAGGGAGTGTTAATTTCTTCAGCTCCCCCTTCCACATATTTTATCATCGTTACATATATATATATATATATATATATATATATATATATATATATATATATATATATATGTCATATTGTTACGAGGCTCCGCCAACCCATGGTTCAGAGCAAGTTCGTACACAGAATTTAAGACGCATAAAAGTGCGTCTTTTATCTAAGTCACATTGCTATAAATTTTATGCGCCGTGTGCGGATATACACTGAAACGAACACACGGGACCACATCCTCAATTTTACGTTTTCATAGATCTCCATTAACCAAGACGCGTTAAAACGCGTGGTTTCGTGCCTGCGGGCATTAATTCTCTGTTTAACATTTCAATGTCAGGGCTTATTCAAACCATTTTACTGCAAAATAATTATAAAAGCCATTTGAACTTTGAACTTATTTATCCTGAGAATGGGCCAGCTTCAAACTGCGGCGCAAGCCTAACGTGAAAAGTGCAAAAGGAAGTAGTTCGTAGAGGCACGTTTTGGCCGGTGGCAACGGTTTCAGACCGACTGCACTAGCGCTTTACCTTACCGCTGGTTAGACAGGACCGGACCAGGTTTCAGGTCCCGGCATGCTTCCAGGGACTTCTAAGCGCGTTCCTCGAGCTCCTGGTACGGGGGTGCATAGACGGCAGGTGATGCCTTTCCGACGACACCATGACACTTCAAATTGACCTGGACGCAGAGGCTATGTCCAGGTCAATGGACATATGGTCAGCTATGTAGGCCTCGATGCGGATTGCATAATTCTGATTGCATGACGCGGGTCGCATGACGCGTGAAGCCCACTGCCACTAACACCTATGGTGTTATTACTGCTTCCATTGTGTATGGGATTTCCTAAATATATCGTTGTCCGGCATCGTATGTGTATTGTGTTTGTGATACCGTACAGGTGTATAACATGTGGTATATTGTATCACGAGCAACGAACTTTAGTTTTCTCTGTACTGTACTCTTTCTGCATATGACCCACATCTCGTACAAAAACAGTACGTTTTGTCTTTGGGGCTAGTTATTCTTCCACCGCCCTGCTCCCCTAATGCCGGTGCGTCATGAGCTTCACCGGCTACGATCAAGCGAAAATAGTGACAGCGTCCGTGTGGCATGCTGTTTGAAGTCGTCTGTGTAACGCTGCGATGCATTTTTTGGCGTTGCACACAGCGGTGCCTTAGATTTCACAGTGGCATTGCCTTTTGAATGTTTTGGCGATGTTTATTTGATTTGTACCGTGCCTCACATTGCTCTAACAGCTAGCCCGCCATGTTAACCAAACAAGAGGAAATAACAGCACAATTTCGAAATGTGCTGTTATTCGATGTCGTCGAGAACCATGAAATGATTCGACACGAGCAATGAGTTTTAATACCGTTACCTTAAGTGGACAAAACAAAAACATTTAAGGAATTTTTGAATGAAAAGACGTTCTGAAGAACCTGTAGTGAATTACGTCCAATATAAAGGACGATGAAAAGCGCCAATTGAGATAAAAATAGTCGCCAAACTTTAAGTTAGACGCCAAGTTTTACGCGTGTACACCTATAAGTAAACAGTACAGGGACAGCAATTACTACCACAGTTAGACTTGAATTGGAAACGTATGGATCAAGAATATGCCCTGGGAATAACATAGAATATATATTTTCGTAAGACATTGTGAGATTTAAAACCCAGAAAGCACAGCTCACATTCACATAGGCAGAACGTTTCGGGAGGCCGAAGGTAAATATCTAAGTAACTGGATTAGCAGCACGAACTATGGACATCACACTAGCGCCAGCTATAAACCGCTGATACGACCAGCGTCACGTACATTAACGGTATAATACCCCTGCAAAGTGATTTGAAGCTTGGAATGAGGACGATGGCCGCCGAAGGTACACCTGCCGCAAGAAGAAGCACACGCTTTGCCTGATACTGGAAGCATTTGAGCCGTCGGTGCTATCGCAGTGTACCCCAAAACTGCCTCCCAAAAGTATTATCTAGATTTATATCTACCTAAATGTGTAATATATGGGCTTGCAAGGCTGGAGCTTGCCAAAAAGCCCGCGATAACGTCAGAACGGGGCTGTCAAATACTTTGGCGGTCCCGGTTGGAAACCATATCCTTACCCGTCTGCCATAACACATTCTTGAGGAAGACCAATGCTCGCATTAGAACATTACGCTTAACGTAGATTTGTGTTCTTTGACGTGATTACGACTTACGAAAAAAATGTGGTCAAGGGATCATCAACTTGATTACCATGTTTCTCGCAACACGGCTGAAACAAGTACTAAGTACAAGCTGCTACTGACAGTACATAACTACCACAAAAGTGTGCTCTATGATTTATCATCGCAATAATTTGGATCAGTAACCAATGCATTGGTATTTGTTGCCGGCATCTGTAGGCTTGATTTGACATTCTGTTCACGGCCAGTATAAAGTGTCCATTAGACTGGAGCAATATCTTTACGGGTTATCATGATACTGTGGACAACTGACCTCTGTGGCATACTTCTGGTTTTTAATTTTGTTCCGTTGTGCCCCATATTTTGTTACCCTGGCCATACCCAACTTACAGTCTCGCGCATGGAGGTAAAGGCTCTTCACAAAACCGAGCGCAACAAATCGAGGTCCCCCTTGTTTGGATGGTCTTACCACCTTAAAAAATCATGACCCCACCCAAACAACCAAGAGTTTGTCCAGACCACCAGTCATATTCGCTCGGGCGTGAGGCTCTGTTGACGTCCCTCATCAGGCAACGACGATGGAAACACGAATGGGAGATAATCAATTACGCTTATCAGCGCTGTTATAATAATTGCACCACCACGGCAAACTGATGTCCCGGTGTGTTGGCTTGTCGGTTGTCTTGTGCGCAGCTGCTTTAAGCTTGCTAAAGCTGGTAGGTGTCTATGCTGCTGTGCTCCGGCCGGCAGACGGCTGTTCCGGAGTGTGATGATGACCGGCTGCGACCTCTCCGCCGTCTGCAAGCCGCCAGAGGTTGTGCTGCAGCACACACTCGAGCTGTACGTCGAATTTCACGAACAGGCAAGTCTTGTGGCCGCCGGCACGGCCGCCTGCTCGTGCAAAGCGTCTCTGATGGTGCTTGTTTGAAAACGGCTCATGCCAAGCCTGCCTTATTTTGAGAAGCTTGAACTAATGGCGCAAGAGACAACACTTGCAAGAGCGCATCTTCCCTCACCCTTGGTTCACCTTCCCCGTCTCTTGTCCTGTCCTCGAGTCATGTGCGCAGCCAAGGAGGTGCCTTAGGCCCGAATTGTTTAAGATAATCCTGGCCGCACTCCTGCCTTAAGTTACCCAGTTTCGCGCTGCAAATAAACCGGCGTGAGACCGATCCTTGAAAAAGGAGAAAACGGCCGCCAGCATACCTACGGCAAAAGGAAGAAGGGTTGTTCGGAGATTAGCTAAGCTAGATATTTTCTTATTGAAACATGAACATCCTAGCGAAATTTGGACCGAGCGACAGACCCATACCCATGCCCACCATTTCGTCCTCCAACGAAGGTTAGGGAAAGTACGAAAAGAACGAAAATTACCGGAAAACTTAGCCTGTAAAGCAGCAAAAAGGACGAACAAACCATTAGCAAGGTTATAAGCAAGAGCGCCGCGGGCAAAAAAAAAGATGACGACAGGTGCCGCCTCTGATGCACAATGTTTAACATGCACTCGGGTGGGGGTGAAATTGCTCCCCCCCCGAAGGCTTTTCTGGAATGGTGTTCGAACGGCGTGGCGTAGCCGCGCCAAATTGTGCATAGCTGTAGATGCTTGAATAACCAATCCCTTGACGTAAAAAGTTAGATGTACCTCGTAAGGTCGCTGACCTACGGTAGGTCAAAGTCAGGCCATGGATTCAAGGAAGTAAATTTCTAGGGAATCCTGCAATCTGACGCAACAGCAATGTTAGACGAAGCCATACATCTCTGGGATACTTTCTTGGGCAATACAAAGATCGAATAAACAAATTCCATTGACCTAGAGGCAGGTATGGGTAGTTTCTGATGTTCATTTCGAGTTTGTTGAGAACGGAAACCGCGTTATACATCTTACATGGGCGTCTTAAAGATCAGAATAGGTCACTGACCTAAAATGACCCGGGTCCGCATTTTGTTTTTAGGAACATACTGCCTGGCGTAATCTTTGTCGGTTATTCAAGCGCAAAACTCAAAGCAGTCTCGTATGATTTTGTTCACCATGACCTTCAAAAGGTCAAACAAGGACACTGGCCCTGAATGAGCACGTGTCCTTTTGCTCATAGCTGGTATCTAAGCTTTGGGGGTACTTTGGAAACCAACCTGGGGTTTGACCTTATTTGACCTGAAGATCGCGAGCTAGGAACCTCAAACGTTGACCTAAGTGAGTAAACGTGCAGGTCAAATCACCCCGTAAATTTGGTGTTTTTGGCGCTCTTATTTCCTGAGACCTCAGCGGGGTCAGTCACCCACACCCGAGCGAAGAGTACCCGACCGGCCACCCGGGCGCGCTTTAAGTATGATCAAGCGTCTACGGTCTTGCACGCACCAGTATGGTTATTGTTCGTGGCTGACGTATTTGTGAATGCGGCGTGTCCGTTTAAGTGCATACACACCAAAGTTGTATGTATATCGGTGCCCCTTCCGTAAGTCCATGGCTAAACGCCGGCTGAGACTCGTTGCAATTCAGTCAGTCAGAGAAGTTAGACAGAGGCATTCTAGTTTGACCGGCGTCACGCAGATTGGAGCTCATCAGTGCTGCTAACATCTACAAAATGTTATCGATGCCGCGAAAGCACATTTCAGGCTCAGGGCTCTGACAATTGATCGCCAGCTTTTCTACATGGCACACGCATGTTTGTGCGAATAGGGATGCCATATCTGAACGAAGCCTGTCATGTGCATGTGTGCAGCACTCTCCACGACCGTTCTAGATAAGTTAGGTGAGACAAAGGTCTCGTGATCAGTGATATATGGCAAAGCGATATAAAGGATTGTTTCATGGGAACATTCGTAAATCAGCCTTCAACATCCAGTGATGCTAAGGAACCGGAGGGCCTCTTCGGGTGGGGGTGGGGGTGGGGAGGGGGGGGGGCGGGCAGAGAGCTGCCGTAAAATATTTACTGGCTCTTCAGTGCTCCGAATTGTATACTCCGATGACAAAAATCGAGGAATGATAACATTTAACCTCTAAGTTACTTGACATGATGGCAGTAAGAATTTGGGGTATTTGGTCCGATGAGGTTCCCTTCCTTATGGGTTTTGATGTTCCCATCCAAAAATCCCGGACCGCGCCCCGATAGCTTTCTGGAAATGAGCACCATCAACCTCTGTATTTGCTACATCATTCCACTTGTTAAGGTGAGTTTTCAGGAAAGAAGGTGAGTCCGATTAAAATATGTTTAAAGTTCCGATCATACGCTAAGATGTTACCCAACTTCCCAGGATTAAACTAACATTTTCTCAGAATCATGAATGTTGAACTTTTCTCCGCCCGCCTTATGGATTTATTTACATTTGTACGTAGTTGCCAGGCCGTTCGCTGCTGCTCTGGGGTCGAGATACTATGGCACCTGGAGAGCCTTCCCCTGCCTGCTCCAGCTTGCAACAGATGTGTGTAATATATGTATTTGTACCCACAAAAGTCTCCAAAGTATCGCAATCTCGGTTTTCCTCGCAAGAGGGTCAAACTTTCCACACAGGGCCTAAAAATGGCGAACACCGCGCTCACCAGAAACACGTTAGTAATGAACGTTACCATGGTTGCGCAAAGCACAAGTTACAGACAACTCATGGCACTTCAAACATTATGTATCAGGGGCATGGCGCCCGCCATCCACAAACAAAACAAACAACTCAAGCAGCTACCACTATACGACACGCGACTGACAAGACGCTCCCCCCCCCCCCCCCTCATCGCTACGCCAGACCGCAGACCAGTATGCATCGCGTAAAAATGGAAAACAACGCTCTTGACATGGCGAAAAATGAAGCGTCGAGCCATGCAGAACTATGTCTCTAATAAGCGCGTGCAGCAGGCCAATCTTATGTTATGATGCCGCAAGCATGCGCTTTACAAAACTATGGCAAGAAGAACCTTTCCTAAAATAAACATGCATACATATGTATGCATATATATATATATATATATATATATATATATATATATATATATATATATATCAAAATGTGTATGATCGCTGAAAACAAACCCAAAATCTGTATCTTGTGAGCTCCCTTTCCATGCCAGCAGGCAAAGCGTTGTTCAGTAACGACAGCTAACAATTATAGGGAAGTTCTGGTAGTAAAAGGCGCGGCAAAATAAATCGTCCTTAATTCATTGCTTACCTTAAAACCCCAATTTCGTGCGCATAGTGAAGTGTCGAAAGCATGCAAAATATCGCAAAAGTACGGGTCAAGACGTTGGTTTTTTCCGAGACCATACCCATTTTCCGGGAACTTGTGTGCCAAAGGTACGTTGGATGACGGTACCTGGTGCCTGGTCCCCTTGTTTAAGGTAAGTATCCTAATTTCACCACATTGCGAATACAATTGCGATCATGCATTGAGTACGCACGCTTGATCTGACTTCCGTGGAAAGGTTAGCTGGCAACTGGCCAAAGGGTGTCAACCTGGCCCGGGGCGACCGGATGGCAGCTTTTCACGGCACGTGGAGTTACCAAAATCCGTTAGAATCAACACAGTGCAGTTTGTCAGTCGAAAAGGCCAGAGACATTATGAAATGAAGTGCACAGATTTCCAATCTCCCCCGGGCCGAAACGCTAACGTAACCGCCGCTACCGCAAGCCAACTGACAATGTAGTCATTCCTCACAACGTTCGATGTTGCTTAGCAACCAGCACGGATTTCTGTCCCCCCCCTCTCGCCCTCCACCAACACGTCTATTTCGTCGGCAGGGTGACAAGGAGAAGCAGAAAGGACTCACTCCTGACCCTATGATGGACCGCTCCAAGGCCTTGAACCTGCCCGCAGACCAAGTCAACTTTGTCAAATACCTATGCATGCCGGCGTACGTCATTATAACCCAGGTTCTTCCAAACACCAAGGAGATGCTGGAGAATGTCAAGTAAGTACTCCGCGACACACGTGGTGCTAAAACGGTTAAAACAGTTGTGTTTTCAAATTACTATTATATCTGTGTTCACTTTCGCTTGCATGTAGACTTTCAGCCTGTAGGTACGTAACGCATCTCAGTGAGTTCATTGGTACGGTTTGTAAGGGACCGTACGAATGCGCGTGACCCTGGACACGTGATCTGATACTCACCGGGACATTCAGCGTAGACTGACGAAGCCTCGCCGACGAGGAACACTGAGCGCTCGGCTTTGCAAAATGTGTGCGTAAGGTGTGAATGACGAATGTGAAGGAAAGAAAAGAAGCCTAAAGAAATATGTGGATCATGTCTGACGAACACCGTCAATGTCAAAAAATCTTTGAAATCGTCATTTCAGGGTGAAGTCAAATCACTGAAAATTGTTTTAATTAACAGTAACAGCCTTCGCAATGCGACACTATGATTCTGATAGGTAAAGATTGTAAACGCAAAGTCAGCCAAGTTGAAGATCAGTTGACTTCATTGAGATGACCCAAGATTGCTCCTTGCCAGCAGATTGTGGCACGCATTGATATGAAACATAATAATTCAGATACATACGGCCAAAATTTGTTCTAACCGCGATATGACTTAATTCATATATCACCCACTTAACTTGTCAACAATACGCAGTATATGGAAATGACCCGCGGAAGTTGCGAATCAGGGATTGAGCTGCGTTTTTTTCTATTTATTCCTATAATTCCTATAATATACGCGGTGCAGAGTGTGGAATTGACGGGGTAAAACTAATCTCGGGGTTATCATGTCGGCAAGGTTATGCACTGGTGTTGTAATCGTCCACTGGTGTACCAGAACACTACGAGGCGGCGCCTCGAGGCATTCACACGGCACTCTGTGCACCCCATGGGTACGCGCTCTGCGAATACTGCCTCGCCCAGTGGCGGCATGATTCACTTGGCTGGACCCGACAGTGGCACATCCATGGCAGCCTCCACCTTAGGTTCGTGTTTTGTTTCGTTTTGTTTTTAGTAGTGCACGCAGCGAAAACAATGAGTATACACTTAAAGGAAGTGTTTCATATTCGAATTAGGTTTGAATTGAAACAACCACATGAAAGATCACGCAGTGCGGTTCACGGCCACGCCCTTTTCCAAGGCCTTAATCCCGCTGGTTCCTGAGCTTCACGGAAATGTTGAACTGTCGAAGGTATTGAAGTAAGCACCAGATGTGGTGAAAAGCTCACCTATAGCATCGTACCTTGTACAATATTGATTGTGAGTCAATTGACGGTCGCTATATCTGGAAATCGCGCTCACGAACGCCAGATATCAACGATCCGATCATTATATTTTCCGTAGTCTTCATCGCCGCATGACCTACGGAATGGCAAGGTTTGAAAGACGTTATTAAGACGTCATGAATCCCAATGTGACCTTGCATTGCTATCCCCGGAAGTATCATCTTCGCGGGTGTGCAACTCAGAAACCAGACGGGTTTAGTTAGGTCTCAAGGACAGGGCTCTGAACTGCACCCAATGATCTTCAAGATGGTATTTCAGTTCAAAAACCCCATATAAATGTGGAAAGCCCCGTTCAAAGGCCGCGAAGATGTGCAGACTATTTTGTGTTGGACAGGAGCGGATACAGGAATTTCGGTTGGGGGGGGGGGAGGGTACCCTCTCCAGGGGGCATCAATTGCAATCGTGGGGGCGCCAGCCATGCACCAAAACAGCTCTGATTTTGACTCCTCGGTTTTATGAAGTCACTGAAAAGATCACAAGATGTGCACACTTCGCGAATTAATCTGCGCCAGGGATAACCATATCACATAACCCATGCTATGGGGAACCATGTTCTCGCCCAAAAAGTGAGGATGAGAATTACCACCCGTCGTAAGATGTCACGGAATACGGTTCTGTTGTATCTAAGCGACTTTCCAAGATTGGAAAACTAAGTGTTATATTTTTCAATACCTACAATCCTTTGAAGTCCATAGGAATACAAGGTTTCACTCCTCGCTTTATTTTCTACATAACATGAACGCGACAGTCTGGGCCGGTTCCGTCGCTCCCACAATTTCGCTTCAGTGCAATGAAAGTCGGACGTGAATCACATTAGTCTCACCGTAAATAAGGCTCGGTCGTTTACGCTTCATGCAAAAGGTAAATATGAGATACCACTAAAGATCTGAAATCATCCCAGCGCGGTTGTATTCACCTTGGCTTCCATATTACCCCACCTTATTGGATTGTGGCTATGAATTACAAAGCTTTATTTGCGTGGCGACTGATATGTTCACGTTCAACCAACGCTGAGCCGCACATCACAAAGTCGAGACATACCGCATAGGTAAACTCCCATTTTACATCCGTGTGCCTCTGAATCGGGAATAGCTAATGTCAAATGAGGCACTGGTTGTTAATCAGCTCGTCATGGAAGTAGTTTGGTGTGCGACGCGACCGTTTCCGTTGATGCCTATTTTGTGCGAGATATTTTACTCACCTTTGGAGCGAGAGCATGAATTACCCAGTCTAACTTACGTGACAACTAATGTGTTCTACGTCCAACTATCGTTGAGCTAGAAATAAGACCAGTCGTGGGGGCCTGCGAAATCAGCCCGTTCACTGTTATGTAAACCTCTGTGGGATTATATAAGTGATCAAGGACGACCTTTGTTGTGGGCGACCTTGTGACCTTGTGGGCGACCTTTACTCGAAACATGATGTATGGCCCACTATTGGACAAGGACGGTTGTTTCAAGCATATAGACATGGCTCCTTTGGATGAAAACGCGCTATAGCACATCGCCCCCGTGACAGGAACGATGGCATCGGTACTATTGTATTCTCCACGCATTGAGACCAATCGTTGAGACAAATGAGACAACTCGTTAAGATGTTCCATAAATGGTTCGAGGGATTTTGAGGGGCTGCGTGCGTGTGCTGAGCGTGGGTCGTCTTGACAATTGTCCCCAGATCACTATGAGCGACGGTTCAATGATGGGCGACGGTTCTATCAGCGTCGAGTTTTGCAAGTGTTGGAAGATGATTCGGCAGTCACAGTTGTAGACCTGATCTACTACAATGATGCATATTCATTGGCCTGAATTAACTGTGTAATAACGAACTGATCAAGGTAGAGTTCGCAGCATAAACAATATTGAACACTTGGACGAACCGTTTGCATTTATCCCGAACCAGCAACAAGATCGCGCTGATTTCGGCGTTATGGCCGATGGTTTAATGATGTGGTTAATCTGGGTGGCGCTCCGCGCGTTAGCGGATGCAGGTCGTTTGAACTTGGCTCGAAAATGTTTGTACAAGCAGAACATCACGTTGCCAAACATAGAAACTTGTCCCACTTAGCCGCTCGCGTCCCCTTGTTTTACTTGATTTAACTCGGTTCATCCGCCGATTTCGGTGAGGCGGACGTTGTGGTTTGCACAATAAAGCATACCGTTTCGACAACTTTTACTGGTCCCAACGCTCCAATACAGCTCTTCTCACTTTTCCTTTCCATGTGATTCAGGCCGAGCAATTAGGATATCTGATAGTTTTGCCTTTATATCAGCACCGGTTCAGTCACTTGGGGTGTCCTTTGGATGATGATAGTTATTCTTCTTCCCATGTATGGGCACCACATGCACCGCATAGCACAGAAACCGTCCACGTTTTCAGGCGAACGCTCGACTTTTGGGGAGCCACGAAGGCGAAGGAGAGCAGCGCGTGGAAGCCGTATCCGAGCTGGCCGAGCCCGGCACACCCGGACATGTCACTGAAAATGGCGCGGCCGCCAGCCCATCCGCTCACTCCCGGCCAGCGCAGCCCCAAATAACGCAGCCTGCTTCCGTCTACCAGCGACCTCCGGATTTCGTTGAGACCGCGCATTTAAAATACGAGAAAACAAGTTTCGTCAAACCTTGCGCAGCGGATACGTCGGATGCGCCGCGCGCGCATCCCCGGTCACCACAAGAGCGTGAACGTAATGCCAAGCGATTTATTCCGCAATAAAACGTTAATTTGTCATACTTCGCCACCTTCAATAACTACAGCACACAAATTTTGGACGACTCGGTCGCCTGACATTTCAAGGAAGCTACACTCTATGTACAAGTATACTTTGAAGATTAAACGACCTATGTAAAGATTTTACTAACAAGAGCTATGCGATTTACACATGAAATCACGGAGCAATTGGCTGGATACAAAACTAACGAAACAAAATGCGTGATCACTTTGCCCACCGGCAATTTCCACGAGCTCACACCGGCTCGAGGTATCCACAAGTCACTGAGTCGCGCGCCCACTTGCCGGCCCTGGGCACCCGCACACTTGCCACATCAGAGTCAACTTACACAGGCACTATTCAAGTCACCGAAATTTTGCAGCAACACGGTAGTTCTGACGACGCAGATCTATTTAATCCTGATTCTGATCTTCCGCGAATGCCTCATTACGATAGATCTGCAAAGAGGAGGGAAAATTATGATGGGTCATACACTTTCCAGCACACATGACCCCCACAGCTTAGTACACTGATGGCGGCCGGACGGCCGCTATCTGTCATGTCATTGGGGCGTTACGACGCACTCAGCTGCTGAGGCTATATGGCGTCGCCTGCCTCTCACCCTGGCGGGAAGGGCGTGCACCGCGGGGAATCGAACCCCGTGCCTCTGGTTTCCCAGACGTGCAGTGGCTATCGCAGACGCGGTTACCACTACACTACCGGCACCCGACGGCCGCTATTAGTCGGCATCCATCCGCTGGATAGTGCTAATATAGGTTGGCCCAGACAGTTTACATTTGCGATTCAATCCGAGTGAAGTTCTTGTTCACTTGCCTTGGGTGGCCCACGCGTCTTATCAGCGCATTCTACGCTAGACTTTGCGGCGATAGCGTTGTGACGTTTTGACGGAACAGTATAGGGAAAGTTGGTCCGTCACCGATATTTAAGTCCCACATTATACAAAGAGGCCATCTTCTCATATATCAAACAAGATCAATACGAAAGGACAAAATTTCCGGAACCACCTCATCATGAGCAAGACCGAAATACTCACAGCTGGGCGCCGAACTGTTCTCGAAGTTCCGAACAATCTGATCCTGCGTGAATTTGACGAACATGTCGTACTGCTCCTGCAGTTTGGTTGACAATACGTTGTCGTATTCCTCCCGTATGTGGTTCTCACGTTCACGTAGCATTCGCTCGCAGATCATCCCAACCTGCGGAAAACGAAACAGGTAACTTAAGTGACGCTAAGGAGCAAATAACGCTTGACAGGTCGCTTGAAGACAACAGCAAAGCTGCGGGGTCAGATGCTGATGATGATGATGATCTGGGCTTATGGGAGGGCCGACTGCCCTGGTAACATGGGGGCCTGTTGTGGTGTCAGAACACAACTCGCAACATTGTTCCGATAGTGCGAGCCTACTTCCGTATGGAAGCAACTGTCGCAATTAATGATACATGCATTCGTCCATGTAAACAATGACAACTCGCTCAGATATTTTCAGACACAGCACACCACTTTCCCACCAGTCCAGCTTAACTCGCGGACAATGAACCACGTCATACTTTTACACCGCATGGGTAAATGATCACACTGGAGTCACACACTGAAATTAAAGCCATGAATTTGACACTTGAACTGCTAGCTCAACTGTTTTCTTAGCAACTACGTAACAGCTTGCACTGAAAAACGAAAACCAATTCACGGAGGATTGATGAAACGCCTGGCCGGGATAAAAATCATGCGTTTAGTTACATGACTGTGCCTGCGAAGATTTTGACTCGATTTTCTGGGATAAGGAACACATCGAATTGACCGATGTCCTATTCTTTGTCAATCCTTGTCTGTCTGTATGTCAGTTTGTGTTTGTCGTTGACCCGCCTGAAGCCTGGAAGTCGGCCGGCTTGTCCGCAGTTCGTTAGCCAGATGCGCTGCAAAGATGGCTGTACGGATCGCCTTACATTTGCGCATACGATGAGTTTAAACTTTTGACGATCTCCGCCGTGACTGCGCACCCTTCAATATCGGTGTCGGTCATGGCGCGCAGAAGGCCGGGCATTTCGCACCTAACAAAAATAAATTTTTCGTACAAATAGGACCAAGCTGTGCAAATGCCCAGTCGTCCAAAGCATGTTGCAAAGTTCGAGCAACGATGGAAACATGACCCAGTCAACGTCAGCAATATGGTCCAGGAAATATGACCTGAACTGCAGTAAGATGAGTCCACTGCAGCCTGTGGTGCAACATGATCCAAGCTGGTATTGGCTGGCACTCGGCTGGTTTGTGATGGTGTGGCGCGGTCAACCTTTCTTGGTTTACATAACACTCATGTCTCACAAATCAAAATCAATATCCATCATCAATGGAAAGCATGGGAAAGTGTGAAACATTCAGTGCCCTAGCTTCACTCCCTTGTCAATACAGCCAGCGGTCAATGACGTACCAAATGCGCAACAGTCGTCGAAACTGAGAAAGTGGCGGCATAGAGTTTATCTAAGTCTGAAGAAGATAGAAAGTGAGCCTCGCAGTATCAGAAGATGAGCCTTGCAGTACTGCAGGCTTTGTGAATTGTGGAAAATCACGGTTGATGGCCCAACAATGCTATGTGTTGGATAACACTTGCATAGCATTTAATGCACACTTTAATGTACGGGTTTAAAAGTAAGGTGAAGTGATAACATGCACATCGCAATAACTTAGTTTTTGGGGGGTTGATGAGGATGACTGGGATTTTACGGCGCGCCGACTTCTGGGGTCATTTTGCGCCACACCGCTCTCACGTCGATAGTGGGGCTCCGCATATCAGTGAATGCAGAGGCAACCTACATTGTATGTGGCAACCGAGGTGCCAATAGGGCTCGGGGCAAATTATGGGCACTACACCAGAACATGAGCAACGGATAGCGCGTAAACACAATAAGGACATGCCGGTGCTTGCCCTGCTGAGGGGAGAAAACCATGTGTCCAGTATGTGTGACCTAGGAAGATGTGGCAGAGGCCCGTTTCTTCACTTTTAATGATGCGATGAGAGGACTGCCACTCGCAAGGGTTTGACCTGGTAGCCCTAAGCAAGCTTGCTAGTCTCCACTTCATCTAATGCATGGCAAATGATAACAGTGTCTAGGTACCTGCCATGTTATGAAGACAGTCATTTAGCCATAGAATAAAGCTGCTTCCTAATGGTGATGATGATTTGGGGTTTTAGGGTGATGGTTGCTTGGTTGGATGGATGCTTCCTAATGGGTCTCAATGCAGGACCAGCAGATTAGCTCCAAGTTAGTTTCCACCCATTAAGACATGCTGATGATCAGCATCAGCTGTATGAAATACTGCCTACTAATAAGGGCATATCATATGCCAACCAGTCACAAGCTGACAACCTTATCACAGGGTGGCATAGGTCATTCTTATAAACTGATTTGATCATATGCTCATACATACTGATACCATTATTATATACACACTAATTGTTCCCTCCAGGAAGTTACCATGTGTCTGGTATGGTAAATACCTGGTTATTCACTTAATATGCAGAGGGTGTACAAAGAGATGGCGAAAGCAATATGAGCTATCAGTCAGAAATTTATGGATACTTCCCTATGGTTTGAGATCAGGGAAATCAGTTCCTTATATCAAACTTGATATTGAGGTTGTTTCTATTCTCAAACCAGCTGAACATATGCATGTCCCACAGCCAGCACACCTTGATGGGATCACAGTTATTGATACTAAAAGACAAGTACCATTACTGATAGGATGTCTGACACTTCCCATACTGTGTATGTCAGCATGTGTCCAGCTAATCCTGTATCTTGGTCCAGACTATGCAGTAGTCACATCCAGCTTTGGTTACAGTATGTTAGTGTTACTTTCACTTGCCCCTATCCTTTCAGCTGTATGTTGTATTATTAAGTTGTGCTTGTAGAGCATATTTTTCTGTCTGCAAGCACACAGTTCTCAGTGTGATGTGTATCCTTTGCAAACCTCACAGAACTGTTCTGACACATTGAACAAATGATTACTCCTACTTCAATTTGAGCAGCAGCTGAACTGTAACAACAGATCAGAAATATAGTTTTTTGGACCAAACAAGGAGCAAAATAATCATGGTACATAAATTTCCACTCTTGTGACCCTGATGGCATACCATGTCATAATGGCACCATTCCTGCCATGGAGGGTCTGTTTTACCAATACTGTACTGTATGTAGATATCGCACATTATAAACACAGGACCTCAATGACAATATTGTGGATGTTAAATATGTTGCACTCACAAAGTTGCAACTGAGAAAGAATCCCTTTAGTGAGAAGAAATAAAATGTGTTTTTTTTGACAAGCAGGCAGCATCTACCATAATGGAGCAATGCCAGCAGTTTTAGCCCTGCTGCAAAACTTCAACCTTCACCACAGGCCAAAACCACGAACTTCAGAGTCATCCCAGGCCGCAAATCACTGACCTGTTTAAACGTGAACAGTGGTTTGTCTGCCTTGTTGGAGGAACCACTTGTGGCAGTGGCAGCAGTGGCGGTGGCAGTACTGGATGAGGCTGATGGCGTATCTGAGTCACTGTTGCTGTCAGAGTCGATGCCATGGTACTGCAGCTGCCGGCGACGATGCAGCCGGCGGATCTCGTCTCGGACGCTTGCAGCAATCATGTCTGGGCAAAAATATTACACTTCAGGCCATGAATGAAACACATAATACAGCATAACTATCAGTACAAAAAACATGCAAACCACACCTTAAAAGCATACACATATTTATCAAACAGTTTGAGCTGATCTAATGGCACCCACAGTGCAGTGCCAGGTACTCTGATGACTGACTACTTGCAACCTGATTTGGTGGGTTCAAGCAAAAAAAAAAGTTGACCAAAATACCCTGAAGTTCCCCAGTTTTACTCCCCTCAAATGACTAGAAAAACCTGAGTTTTGTGGTCACCAGGAAAGTTACATGTCGCTGCACTTCAAACCATACCATCAGTTACAAAAGAGAATGCCATCATAATGGTGGCACCCCACCATCACAATGTACAGAACTTGGAGTCACTCACATAACAGCTTGCTTTGGTCACTAGGGCACAAATAATTCCCAACATCCAGCAGAGCCCCTAGCAGATCTAGGTGTCACAATAACCTCACATAAAGGATGCAGGGAAGGTGGAGCCCACCCCCCAACCACAAGGTTGAGGCTTTGCATACACCCAACATGTCATATGCTATGTTGTCAGTTAGGTCAGTTTATGTACAATTTCTAAATTTTTGTCATCAATATTCTGTGCTGTGTTTTACAAGAATTCTCCCCATGGACTACATACCATTCTGCTTTTTCAAAATCCAGATACACCCCAGTTGACAAACTAAGAAATAAAATGTAGTGATATGTATGGCAACACTGGATGATGTGCCATGCTCATCAGTGGTGAATTATCGCTTGCATTAGATCACATCCAAATTTGTTCCGTTCTTATATTAACAGGACATACACCAGATTGATCCATTTTAATATTTTCAAGTCCTTTCAAGGCCCCTCTATTCTATTTTCATCAGTTTGATCCTGACCTTTCCTTCAGTGTGAAAATATCTTCCATGTGATTGTGACACCACCTCCTTATCCCCTTTAACATTGCATGTGCATTTCACATGTCAGTGATGTTACCACAGCTGTTGACAACTTCAATTTATGCATGCAGGCAGTGCAGCATATTCTCCATCATCTTCTGGCATGTCTCTGTGACCCCTGACTTCTATCAACAGGTAACCACATTTGAAAATATAACTTTGAAAGTATGCACAGATGGATTTTCATATTCAGCTGAGGGAGAGGACCCCAGCCCTCTAACCCATATCCACCTTCTAAACTTTGGGAGAAAAGTGGGTGAAATCTGGAACAATACCTGTTTGAAAACAAATACCCTCTCCCCCAACTCACTGCAAAGATTTCATTATCAGGTGGCACTGCAAAAGCAATGCCTGGTTAAGACAACACCAGACACACCATATTTATCAGCATCCATAAAGAGCAATGGTTACAAGTTTGGATTCACAACAAGTTTCTGTTGAAGCCTGCCTGCAGCATCCCTCTCTTACTCCTGGGCAGTGTGTCACACAATGCTACTGATGACTTTATATGGGGTCATTTCCATTGTTTCCATTCCTGATGCTCACTCGAAACAACGATGATTAGCACTTTAAAGTGTGCTGACCAGAATGGTCATGTGAAGCTCATCTCTGAAAAGCAATTATTTCTTATCTTTCTATCATATATTCAATAGAAATAAAATGTGTATTGGTGTTTTGTGGCATGTCGACCACAATGGTGAAATAAAATATATTGAGTCAAAAACATCCAGAAATTACTTAATATCAGTAACTGCTGTGAAGTTAAGTCTTCATCTCTGGCTGGTCAGTCAGGTCATCTAGGCTGATGGCAAACTTAAGGCTTTAGCAGTCATTTTAAGCAGTCTAACAAAGAAAGCACCTTTGATATATCATGTGAAGGGATGTGGAAGATTAAATGTGCATTTTTGTTTTCTTCAACCCCGGTGTCTAGAGAAACAGAATTTGTCACTGCCTTATGGTAATCAGGAATTCACAATCTGTCATTGCAAGGAAAAGATGGAATTATGATATTTAGTGAATGACCTTAGTCGAGGCAACTGACAGCTTACACTCCCAAGTTGTCATTGATTAAAATGTTTGCTTGAAAACAACGCATGAAAAAATAACTGAAGACTCACCTGCAGAGACCTTGGGTGTCACAGTTTGAAAGGGTGTAGGCTTCGCCTTCTGTTCTGAGCTGGCACTGGGTGTCACTGTCAAGGGGACACACCGCCTCCTCTTCGGCGACCTTCCGGGACTGCCAAATGGATCAAAATCCAAACTTCTTTTGAGAGTCACACACGCCATTGCGAGGAGTCCGACCGAGAACTCTGGAAATCCCAGCCAATGTCCACGCTCACAAGCGGGCAGTGATGTTCCGATCCAGGTGTGGATGTTCACGCCAGGAACAACTATTTTCTATGAGGACGGAGATCTGCCCAAAGCTTCAACCACAGATATAGCGTTGCAATATGCTCTAACACAGCACACCTCCCACCCGCCAGCACGAAAATGGACGACAGGCAGTCCGACCACCGAGCTTAAAAGATGGCTGCCATGGGATTTCCGGGATTTGCCCTCCACGCTGTTCGGACAGAACAAATACACAAAAAATTTCCTTCCCTTCGCCAATCAAACTATGGAAGGAGATATATCTACCAATCAAATCAAAGATTGGAAGTCACAATGTGGAAAGTGAGCAGCTAGCACACTTGTTCAGGAACAGAATGTAAAAGCAATACACAATCTTAATACTGCCCTAGGCTACAATTTGTGCGAGAATGCAATGTTTTCAGATGCCTTTGTTATCTAGGAAAAAAACATCCCTGCTACAATTCACCACTCTAAAAAAATTGCATCAGTTTGAAGCTCAAAGGGAAATACACTAGTATGATTATCGAACTCGATGCTTTTGGAAGGTACTAGGATGTGCTGCCTAGGCCACATGCAAAACGTCCTTGGGGAAATTTAGTACCAATCATAACTAAGAGGGTAAGGCTTTTAGTAACAATGAGTGCTAAACTGGGCGGAGTTTCATGCAACAACAAAGCATGGTAACCCAAGGATCCAGCGGGGGAGATGCGGTTCGTCAAAGCTGGAAGGAACTTGGGACTTTGTTAGAGCTCGACTGGAATAGAAAACCTTCGCCATGTGGGAAGAAAATCTTCGTCAATACCTTGCGAGTTGCTCCTGCAGGGCGGCAGGGCCGGTCGGTTGGTGTGATGGTTAATGGGGAGAGGGGGGGTAAGCGGTTTGGACACATGCCCGAAGAAACTTTGTTACTTTGATAACAGAAGAGTATCATCTACCGGGCACAAGTGATATTGAGATATCTTGGAGTGGAGGGCCTTTGGGCAGATATTGTCACCGAAGTGCAGAGGATGGGATGCCAGTCTTGGGCTGTAGTGGTCGGGAGACACATTTAGGTGTATGAAATGTTGCATGATAGTTGATAGGTGCCTAGTTGTGGTGGTCGCATCAGGCATCTGACTGAGATATAGTTAGGTTGATTGGAGAGGATTGCAGAGAATGGAAATATGGTAGTGTTGATAGCGGAACTGCTATTATAGCTTCGCTATTGTTTCAAGATAGGCATTTTCCCAAAATATCAACCGAACTATATCTCCATTCTCTTGTTCTTTTACTGGAGAATAGGGCTAATGCTCCTGTTTTATCTTCCATTACAACTTGAACTGACTTGAGGCAAGGTTTGAATCCTAGATGTAGGCAACTTTTTTAAAAAAGCATGTTAACTGAAGATGTGTATAAAATGTATCAGAGGCATGGGGACAACATTTTGCACAACCACACTTAGAATGATTACTGTTTCACACACATTTAAAACTGTTTTAAGCTCATGGTCATTGTGCAGTGGAGGCCAGTTTAGAACTTGCAGATGATTTCCTTGCCAGAATTTCATAGTATTTTTATGACAAAAAAATAATTGAATATTTAGCTGGACTTGGCCACTGGCCAGGCCTCAGTTTTGAAAACCAGAGGACTGAGTTCAGCACACTTATCCCCAGCAAAAATCATAGGATATAGAATCTTACAATATTTTTAAGGCAATGTGTCTGAAATATCTGGAGTGGTACATGTATTTTTTACACAGCTTTTTCAGGCAGCTGGTAGGGTGTATCCATGGGCGTAGGAACAGGGGGCATGCCCCCCCCCCCCCACACACACACTTTTCAAGGTGGGAGGCCAGCAATGTTAACTGGCCCCCTGCTTTTTGGATTAAGGTCGCATTTGGCTTGCTTTTGCACTGCATTAAACATGCATGCCAATTTACATATTTCACCAGCCATCTGTCTTAAGATGCATCATCTTTTTTGTTTGTTTATTGACCATTGCTATATGTTACAGCCGCAAGGCCAACGCCGCACAGCCTGGAGACTGCAACGCCGGGCGTCGAGGCTGGTATTGCTATGATTTTCGAGCACGCATTATCAACACCATATTACGTAGTTTTCTTAGCAGTTATCAGCTCTGACAGGATCTTGAGGATTTCAAGACGAGCGTGGGTTAGCCATGCTCACACAAGGAGCCCCATTTCATCTACAATCTACAGTCAGGGAGAACTCTATCTCTGAAGAACACAGAAAAACACGGAACTTGAATCTATTTGACAACTATCGGACTACCTGCAGTGATCAGGGATGTTGTTGCGTCAATGAGGGTTCCTGTGCTGATCCAGGGCTAACTGCGCGAGTCAGAGGGCCTCCCGTGTCAGGGATGGGAGCAATATGATACGATATACCCTGCTAATGGCCTCCGGATCGACCAGGAGATCCCGCCCCGTGCCGCCAGAATGATAGCCGGGAGACACTTCGCGATTGGACAGAATGACCCTTCGGCCCTTGACCGGGAACGGCTTGGCCATGTTAATACATATTGTTGACCACCCGATCTGCAATCAACTTTTCATCTCCAAATTTGGATCAAATATATCCATCTACAATCTCCCTTCGGGATGTCCTCAATGTATTTAGAACCCGAATAAAAAATTTTGACGAAGCTCTTGAATTCTATCGGTTTAGAAAGAGTCAACTAACTATTGTTAATTAAGAGCGCTGGTGATTTACTCCATACGGTCGTTCAACGCCTGATTTCTGCACGTTATTGACCTCAAGATACAAACAGAATTGAGCCCACGGTAGCTCCTGGTCTCTGTTCTGGTAACGAGGTAAAAATAGCAATAAAGCGAATAAAACTGTGTCACTTGTGCAGTAAGATATATCCGGAGATTTTGGGCGGATCACCATAAGATTGGCTTTTGTCAACCTTGTGTTTCCCCCTTGGCAAGGCTTTGGCTTCGCCTCTGCCTACACACAAATGCAGATCAAGTCGCATACGTTGCATGATGGGCAATGAAGTGTCCGTTCGGTCAATTCATTCCTAAGGCAGACAACTTCCCGGAGGCCATTTTTCTGCGATTGTGTGTTGTGAGGGAAGATAGTTTGCTGTCTTCTGTTGCAGGTGTCCAACACGTGTTCCATGCACGATGTGGTAGTAACGCTGGCCCAAAAGTGTGCAACAAAGCAGCAATACGATCAGTTCGCAGTCAGTCATGCGGGAGACATCCGGGCCAGAGCAGTGGCCACGGACGGCGGACAGGAGCAGGGCCTAGGTAAGAAGCATATGACAGATGGGCGTTATTATGTGGACTTGATTCTTATTAGAGAATCTCCAGTTTTATGGGTTTTGTCACGTTGTTTCTAGCGGTTTAAATCTCCCGAATTTGTTTCCAGCCTAAAATGCTGAGACAAGTCTTATCTCTTGAAAAGCAGCCAGCGAAATGAAGGCGCATGAAAAATCTGTCGCACTGTGAGCTATCGATCCATTTTTAAAATTCTCACCAGCCTGTATCCAGACCGTATTTTGGCATCTACACTGTTCGTGCGAAAGAGTTCGTTAGTATTCCGGAGGACCATCGACTTGAGACGTTGAAAGGAAAGAGTCTATTAGCCAAAGAGTTGCAAGGCTAAGGTGAGAGAGGGGTTGGAAGGGCGGCGTGTCGTCGTAAACGCGTCGCGGCTCGCGTCAAGCCGTGTCGGCGGAGTCTGAACGTGGACTTGGAAGGGCGGCGTCGCACATTCCGAAGTCGTCGTCGTTCGTCGTAAACGCTGTCGCGGCTCGCGTCGAGCCGCGCCGGCGGAGTCTGAACGTGGACTAAGCTCGCGTCGAGCCGCGCCGTTGGAGCCTGAACGCTGACGCGGCTCGCGTCGAGCCGCGCCGTCGGAGCCTGAACGTGGACTGCTCGGTAGGGAGCGTGGGTCCCCGCCCGCGTGTCCCCATAAACCCACGTGGGTTTTATGGGCCCCAGATGGTGAGAACCAATCGGCAGAGGGGCCGCTCGCACCCTCGCGGAGCCGCCGCCGCCGCGCCGGCAGCGACAGCCCGTTTGCTCGCTAACACACTGGAGGCAGATGCTTCTTTAAAGACCCAAAATGCCTACCCGCTCGTGGAATTTCGCCACCTCAGGAAATACAATGTTAAAATGGACGAATAATCTAGGGAAGCTGGATAGCCTCATTTGCCGAACGACTGATGAGTCGAATAGGCAAGATTGTGCACCGGTGATAAATGGCTCCAGATGCATATCTAGCATAGCGGCCGTGACATTGGAATAAAGAGCGGTAACAACCTCCATCCCCCCCCCCCCCTCCCTGCCGGTCATCAGGCTCGCTTTCCAGAAAAAGTTCCCGAAGCACACCCTGAGCTCGCCCCCCCCCCCCCACACTTTTTGAAACGTTTCCTACAGCTATGGATGTATCTACCTTTTCATTGTTAGGCGCGCGGCGTATCCGTCCGCCGCTTGCCGCATCCTTTTTTTCTTTTTAGTGCAATTAAGCTATTCTTACGACATGCGGATTTTTGTAATCCCGGGGACGGGATTGAATAAGGTAACTTCAGATGTGGCGCGCGGCGTATCAATCCGTCGGGGGCTACGTCCTGTTTTTCCTCAATGTGCGAATGCGAATTTTGTTTGCTACGTTTGGCTCGAGTGCTCGCCACGGACGTGCGCGCCAGGACGATCAAAAGAGGACGGCCTGTTAAAAACGCCGACCTAGTCGGAGTAAGGGACGCTCAGCCAGTACGCGTTCAACACAAACAGAGGGCACGTTCAACACGAACAGGGGGCACGTTTAACATGTACAGAGGGCACGTTCAGCCAGTGCAGAGAGACGTTAACACAGATGCGGTGATGGGGGACCATATCGACCTGGCGCGCTGACGGCCAGGCGCTCGGCGCCTTCATCTCGGAAAAATGAAAGTCGGGCAGCGACCATTCGGCGATTCTGAGATCCCGGCCCCTTTTCTTATTAGATCAATAAGAATGCGCGTTCTGTAAGTCCTTTTGAGGTAACGTGCTCGCGCACAAATTTTGATTGTTGTATGTTGTGCTCTCTTTTTGTACTTACATTGTTTCTCAGTAATTAGCATATCTGCCACGTGAATATGTCGGTGATGTGTATTGTTATGTAACTTGCCGACTCCGGCCTAGTGTTTTTCTGTGTTTCAATGAGTAGTCGGTAGGAAAATAGCAGATGAATGAATAATGTGCGGCCTGAGTTTTG